AGATGGAAGACAGTCTGTTCCTCATGCTGTGTGACACAGATATGTGTGCAAAGCTAATCCCAGTTTTGTGGTTCATACAGCCATTACATACACACAGCATGGAGCAGAGTATGCTGGTAGTGTATTGATGATAATGCTTCATGCTTGCTTAACTTTTGCAAGAATGTTGTCACTTTGGGGATAGATTGGAAATACAGAATGCGAACCTCTGTGTACATACTACAGTCCAAGGGAGACTTTTGTTGACTATTTTGCATGGCCCAAGTTTCACCCTCAGGCTCTAGCAGAAATAGAATTTGTTTGTCCTATGTCCTACTTTTATCTTAATAATACTGTTGCAAGAAGTAATGAACACAGGCTACATCATGGTTTTTATATGTCACCAGAAAACAGTTTTTTGAAGTGGTTGATTTGACTGTGGAATGATGTTACAGTAGCGTTGCAAGTCCAGTGTCAGTAATAGTTGTTCTTAAGTAAGGTTTATGGGCTCTTCAGAGGCATTTCTATGCACTTATTTAGCGGCAGCTCTGCCCTGATTGTGAGCTTTTAAATGTCCAAGCTGGTTGGTTGTGTCAAAACTACTTTTGTTGCATTATTGTTGACTCCTCCTTAAGTCAGCATTATTACTAATAAATTCTATTTTTTCTGTATGTGTCAATGTGTGTTGTTGCATAAAAGTGTGAGTGCTCGCTTCAAGCTGACTTCTACAGTTCAGATTTTTCTGGTTTCTTTTTTCAGCTTTCTGTCTTAAAATGATGGCAAAGAGCAGACAAGCATATGCATGTGTATTATAGCATGTGAGGAGTTACTGCTTTTACATCCAGTGATGTGGAGCAACCACCTGTTGCTATAAGACATGTCAGAGTAGCTCATTAGTTCATCTAAGGAGCTGTCATGTAATTAATAAAGGTAATCTAGAAACTTTCTTCTGGCTGTGGCCAGGAGACCATAGACCCCAAGGACCAGAGCGGAGCAGTCTGACTGTCCGGGTGGAGCTTGCCGGTTGACGTGCGCTGGCGAGGTGACATGCCTGGGGACAGTTGTAGCTACAGCACAGTGTTTGTGTGGATGGTGGCTGGAAAACATGAGCAATGCCTCACTTGGGCATTGGGAAACGGATAGTGGCACGGATGGGTGTTTCTCCATCTACTCAGAGGGAAGCTGTGGGTGTTCCTAAGGTTGCTGGGAGCTCTCAACAGCTGGGCAAGAGGCTTCCCTTCGTTCAGCTGTCAGGTGGCTGCATCTTCATTGTGCCTTCCCAACAGTTACCTGAGCTAGTATTTGCCTCTGAGCAGTAACCTACTAAACAGTAAGGGAAGAAAAAATGAGAATAGCTTATAAGGGAAGACAGGTGGCATTCATAACCCATGCCAATACACGTGTGGTGTTGCCCAGTCTTTCCAAATGCATCTGTGCAGCCCATGCTATTATTTCCAAGACTGTCTCACCTACAGATGTCATGCAGCTACCACGCCCTGCCAGTGTTTCTGCAAGAGGCACTTCCCTCCCATTAACCTTTTGCTGATGCTGGGTGGGGACCAGAAGTTTTGCAAGAAAAGTTATAATGAGAAGCTCTCTGGTAGAAGTTGTGGTGTAGTGGCCACATGGCAATAATATTAGTAAATCCCTCTTGATTCACATCTGACCAGTTTTTATAATGTAAAAAAATGTATTTGCTTCAAGGATTTTTGATTTTTTTTATTTAGGTTGTTTTTGAGGTAATTGGAAGACATTTGTCGTGTGTGTTTGAGCTGTGTCTATTGATCACTATTGTGTCTTTTACCAAACCATGTCTGGGGTGGCTGTAAGGCAGTGTAAAGCAGTAGGACTGACCATTTGGAGGATTAGAAGAAACTATTGGGAAGAAACATGTTATGGTTTTCAGTAGAGGGACATCTTTCTTTCCATCTTTCTGTCATCTTTAATTTAAATCAGGAGATTGCTTATATTTGCTCAGAAAACACTGATAGTAGAAACATTTATTGCAAATGTTTTATCCTTTGGTTATAAAGAATGAGAACCTCTTTAGGTGCTAAAATAGTTGAAGAGGAAGAAAAGCAACATTAATTTTAGGGAGGGTTAGCAAGATTAATACTGGGAACCTGGGATACCTGAGCTATAAAAATCTCCTGAAGGCAATGGCAGCCAGACTGCCCTGGCTGTCTGCCAGGGAGCTCAGGGAAGAAGGTTCTCCAGCATCCTCAGAGCACCAGCACCTTACAACACACATGGGCATGAAGTTGAAGTATGGTAGAGTGCTCAGTGTCCTGTTAGGGCAACAGAGCCTGGGCTGCATGACCCTCTTCTTGACCCCAGGCTGACTCTGATGTGATGGGTCTGGGTCTGTCTGACCACTTCTGTAGTTACTTTGCAGATATCCTTACCCTCTGCCCCACCCTGATTTCCTCTTTCATAGAGTGGTGTGGATGTTTCCAGGATTACTGTGGGCATTAAAATATATTAGTGGAATCCAGAGCTCTCCTTTGTTGTACAGCACTCTTTGCAGTTGCAACTCAGTTTCTTCTGTTGATTCTGATGAATCTCCCTTCTGCCAGGAGAGTCTTTCACAGTGGTCCTACCTGCTGGACCTTAGGGCGTGTATCCAAAGTGCTTCACTGCCCCTTTGATTGTCTTGTCCTTCCTGTTCCACACTTCAGCAGGTGGAGCTGAGGACTAGACCTACAGTTAGGCTTCAGCTTAGAATTAGACTTGTATTGTCTCTAATAATACTGGGTGATTGCCATTTAATATGTGATCTTTATCCAGAACAGGCATCAGAGCTATGGAAACAGTTTTGTAAGAGAGAAATAGTAGAGCTTCCCATGAGCCATGGGGAAGCACCTGTGAGTGAGAATGCAATTATCTTACCTCTTTAAGTGCAAACACTGTGGTACTTGAGTAAAAGACTCAAAACTTGGTTCTGGCTTTGTTTATGCTAGTGCAAACTCTGCCTTCTCATGGTGCTAGAGCATGTCTTAAGATGCAGTTTGGGCCCTGCTGTTCCTCAGGTTGATGAGAAGCTTGTGTTTGGCTACTGCTTGTGAGGGGGTTGGTTTAATCACGTAAAACTCAGTGTGCCCAACAGTACACTGCATTCCAGAAATCCACCCCTGCTCACTTTGGCAGCCAGTAAAGTCAGGATTTATGAAGCAAATAGCGATGAGAAGTAAACAGGTTCAAGACTTTTTTGTAACATAAATGATTATATAAACTGCTATCGCATTGTTTGGGAGGGGCAGGCGTTGGTAGTCACTGCAGACTGCAGTGCCCATGCAGTGTCCTGTGTGCTTGGTAATGTACAGAATTTATTTTAAATATAGGAAGTTCTTGATTATGTGAAATTTTATTTCAGATAAAGTGTTTAGAAAACAATTATACAGATTATGAATAGAACAGACTTTAAATCTAATTCCCAGTGACTATGTATGGGGTGGTGGTGGTGTTTGTGGGGAGTGGTTTGGGTTTTTTTAGCATAACACAATAAAGGGAGTTTTCAGTTGAGCAGCCATCTCTTCCTGCAGAGGAAACTTGCAGGATGATGTTTGTGCTTGTTTCAGTCATCAGAGGTGAAGGGCACAGTAACAGTAAGCCTGTGTTTCTACAATTAGAGGATATTTTTCATAATGAAGGAAGTCTCCAAGGTCAACAGCTACAATACCCGGAGAAGTTACATCACAAGCCCACATCTGCACAAGGCTGCTCTTTCCTTCACACGTTTTCTTTTTGCACACACTCATGCTCTCAGCTTAAGTGTTGATTGTGTCACTTTCAAGAACAGATTTTATTTGGACTTCTGTTTACAGTGTATTTAGCTGTAAAAAAAAAAAAATACACCCCAACTCAAAAAAAGGAATTAGTATTTTTTTTTCCCCCTAAGTAATTGAAAAAAAAAATCTCACTATAGTCTTCTGATATCCTGTACATTCCTGAACTTGGTTTGTCTAGCTACTGTTTTTTCAATGAGAACTGCGCTGTATGATGAGGGCAGCAGCAGCAGCACCCCCTGAATCTCATCTGGGCCTGTGTGTTTCTTAGTTATCATGGGATAGTAGTGGGCATGGCAGCTCACGCCTCTGCTGAGCTCCATGTATGTGAAGAAGAAAGATTTTTGGCTATTTTAGCAGAATTTGCATGAAGGGTAAGAGAAGAGTGATCTTAATTTTTTTCAGGTCACTTTATATCTCTATTTACTATGCAAATGAACGTTACTGGTACATGTAACACAGTTTGGAAACCCCATATGTAGTACATTTCTCTGTTTGGGGTTATTCTATTTTTGTGTTTCTAAATTGCTGAAATTTCAGTGCAAGGACTGTATTTTATATTCCTCTTTTTGACACAGTATTCTTTCTTTACCAGAGTTTGCTCAGTTTAGCTTTAACAAATGCCTGTCAATCTAAAGTCAGCTTGTCTTATAATGGCAAGAACAAGGACACTCCTTAGAAGCCTACCTGTCCATTTTATTTGTTTTCCAATCTCCCGATGTTTGCTCCTATTCCATCAACAGGCTTGAAAAGCAAGGGGTTGCTCTACATACAGCTCATTGCTGTAGACCTTATTTTATTTACACACACAAAGCTCTGACTCAATATTGTTGAAGTCAGATGAGTCTTTCCCTGGCTTCAGGTTGTTCTGAATCATTCTATAAACCTAAAAGCTAAAGCTGCTTTTAACAAAGAAAACAAAACCTTTTTCCTTCAGTTCCTAGCAGAACTTGTGTTGTGGTTTAAGTCTGTTGTTCATGTCTAATCATGTTCACTGGTGATCATTCCAAGCATCATATATTAGAGTGAAATTACCTAGTGTTCAATGTTTCCTTGATTGCATTTGGTTTGTCCACAATTACTGCATTTAAGAAGGGTGGTGGCGTTCTGCCATCCCTGTTCCTCGCTCTGCAATTGGGAACGGCGGTCGTGAAGAGGTGCAGACGTCATCCAGGTGGCTAGGTAACCCTGAGTATTTAAGGAGCTGAGAATAAAGGCTGATCTTCTTTTAGGTGTGGACGGATATGAGAGAGGTTGGATTGGACTAGTGAAAGAAGGATTTGTAAAGCTAAGAACATGTGTTTTGGAAGGTGTGCTAGATGTATTGGCTATAAGTTGCTTGTCCTTGCCTTGCTCAGCATCGTGGCCAACATTTTACTTTATTTTCCCAATGGCGAAACAAGATTTGCTTCAGAGCATCATCTTGGCAAATACGTGGAGTGCCTTCATGGTATTCTAGGTGGTGGCTTTTTGGTAAGTAATGAGCTAGTGGTTTCTTTTCTGTTTATTTTGGAACTACTTGGTATTACTGTTTTACCAGTTATATAAATTTATTGATCAAGTATGTTAACAGCAGGAATCTCTGGACTTGTATCAAAATAATTTAGGTATATTACCCAATAGTTGTTATTAGTTACTATTGGTTACCTTATATGAAACATAATGTCACTTCAAAGCTGAGAAAATTACAGGGTCTATGTTGCAGAATTCAAAGGCAAAACTGGAATCAAACCTCTCAGTGGGTCACAGTTTGCAGAAAAGGCTAAATCTTAAATTTTTGTTATATTATTGAACTAGCTTCCTTTTAAATGTCCCGAGATAACTAGCATTTAGTTATAATTCCTTAATTTCTGTTATCTGGGAAGTTAACAGTTATTCCTCTGCCTCTATCAAAGTCAGTTGAAGAATTGAGGATGTTGGTTATAGGACATAGTTAATCAGAAGCTCTTATCTTCTACCTCTTCAATTTTGTGGACCACACTGTAGCACATTTAAGTTCCCTGACTCCAGGCTTCCTTTTTCATTTGCTTTTAAAAGTCCTCTTAGAAATAGGCTACAGATGGAAAGGTGTCTGCAAAAAACAATTGTGTGGTAAGGGCCTCCATCTCATGAGAGGGGCTTACAGCTGTGATACAGCCCTGCTAGAGCCTCGACTGGCATTTGCAAGGACTGGGCGTTACACACAGAATAATACGAGTGAAATCAACGGAACTGCTCCTGGAACACGCTAGTACAACCTCTCCTGGGCCTGCAGCACTGGGGCTCAGCAATAGGCTTGAGTAAGAGCTGACAAGTACGTGACTGTTCAACTGGATGGTTTTTATTGCACTATCTTGCTAAGTAAATCTGTGCAGTTTGCAGATAATACTTTGTTCTTTATGGTTTTCCAAGGTACTCCTGGATGTAGAGTCTTTATAAGTGCAAACTATTATTAAGTCTTGTTAGTGCTGGTGGGGAGGATGATCTGTTCAATGAACTCTGCTCCTTCTTGATTTTCTGCTAAAAGCTCTGGAGTATTCATATCTCTTACAGATAGCTCCTGCTTTGTTACTTTGCATTTCTGTCACTGGAAACTGGTTATGAAAACCCAGAAAAAGTTAGCTGTCTGTAATGAGAGGTTTGCCTGAATTGTGCAAATATTCCTAGACTTTCTACTCCAGTCAGACTGGCTGCTTGTCCCACAGGCAGTGATGACTACTCTTCAGTGACTATATGTTGGTAGTTGGGGTTTTTTTAAACAAATAATTGAAAGACTTATCCTGTAGTCCTCATTTGGCATGAAGTGAATGCTTTTTTTTTTTTTTTGCAAAGCATTTTACTTGCAGGATGCAGCCTTTAATGTGAACAAAAACTTCTCAAAGTTGAACTACTTTAAATTGCAGCAGTACCACGCCAGGCTCTTTATCAACAAGCTCTTTATGCACTTAAGTGCTGTGTATTCCCAAAGCAGAAATAGAAATAAATGTACCTACCCTGGTGTTTGTGCTGCTGATATCAGTAGTGAGATGCCTACTGTGTTAATAGGAGTAAAACTGCCCCCCGCCCCCTACCAAGAAGCAATATAAGTGATCACAGTGTGAGGATTGTGTTTCACCTGCCCTGTCTGTGTGACAGCCAGAACAGTGTGGTTCGTTTGTTCTATTCCTAGGTGCTCATCTCAGCTGCAGTGTTCATTGGACTTCACAGTGACGATGGCCATGGGTGCTTTGGCCATGAGGACTGCGGGAAGAGCTGTGCGGTAAGTGGGTCTCTGCTCCAGTCCCAGATAATCCCCAAGACAGATGATGGCTGTGTTGACCGTTTGTCTGTTTGCTGTGCAGATGCTGTCCTCAGTTCTGGCAGCCCTTATTGGGATCCTTGGTTCTGGATACTGTATAATCATTTCAGCACTGGGCTTGTCTCATGGGCCGTATTGCTTTACTCGCCTGGAGAGAAACTGGATGTATCCTTTCACCGAATCCTCTGGAGGGTAAGTTTTCTGTTCCTGGGGTGTTAGATCTTCCCCCACGTACATATGGGCTTTACTCCACTACCTTTCATCAATGTCCAATAACCATATACCAAGGTCCATTCATAAGTTGATGCTTCTCACTAAGAACTAAACAGATGACATCAGTTACCCACACTGCTACAGTTTAAAACCAAAGCAGTATAAATCCTCTATTCTACAAAAAGGGATCTGAGCATTTATAGAGGTAATAATACCTATATACCACATACTGTTCATGCCCATGAAATCTCTAACAGAAAGTATAAAGTTCTAGGACTTTGAGGCATTTACAAACTATGAATAGCGGTTGTTATGAAATCTGTCTTCCTTGTGTAAGAATCTGTTTTGTGGTACTTGCTTCTGAAGCTGCTTTTCATCAGTGTAAACTGGCAGAATGCCTTCATTAGTGACAATAGCGTAGAACCTTTGTAAATGAAAATAGGAGAGGTTTATAAGAATCTCTGTATGCTGTAGGGTGAGGAGGGCCAGAAGGTCTTAATTATCCCTAATTAGGGTTCTCGGGCAAACCAAGCCTGTGTAGCTTTGTACATTATTCCCCATTAATCCCCACAAATCCTGTGGGCTGGAGGAGGATTTGGGTTGGATCATGATGTGCTTTGACAGTGTCTGTATGGTTGGCACCTCGAGGCTGTTTCTAGTAACAGTTTGTGGCTGATGCCGGACTAGAGGCAGCTTGAGTACTAAGCCACATAAAGCTCCTTTGCAGCAGGGAATTTGAATTCTGTATTCCAGTTACATCTCTCCCAAGAGGGGGCTTTCCTCCTACTCCCACCCCGGTCCTATGTTCAGTTCTATGACTGAACATAAAGAACTGAGTTAGGTCTGTGCTGAGGCTCAGTGGTGCTGATGTTCTGAAGATGTGGGTGGATGGCTGGAATACTGCAGTACCCCTCTGAATTTGCAGTGTTTGGCTCTTCCAGAGTAGGTGTGTGAGGGCCCAAAGACAGCAGCACAGGGGAGGAAGTGAGCCATTTGCTTCGGAGCAGTAATTGCTGTTTTTAGAATAAAGGCCCAGTCCTGAAAAGCTCTGTGGTTGTTTTGAGAAACAGCTTTGTTCTTCCAGCTTTCTTGAGCTTGTGTCTCACTTTAATCAGTCATAAAGATTCTGACTTTATACTTAGCTATTTAAAAAAAAAAAAAATTTAAAACATAAAAATGTATGGTTGATTGTTCAAGACATTCTTAAACAGAGCTAACTGCATGGAATAAATCATTGCATTTCCTATTCTGACTTAGAGTGATTATCCTCAGTGCAGTTACAGACTAGATGTAATTTGGTTCTAGTGTACAGTAAGTATCCCGCTCCCTCAGTGTTAATATGCTTTTAATTGCTGTGTACAGGTACTTGTTTGAGTATAACAAGTGGTCTGCCTGTCAGGAACCTCACAACATCGTGCAGTGGAATGTCACCCTCTTTTCTATTCTCCTTGTCTTGGGAGCAATAGAGTTCATTCTGTGCTTCATACAGATAATCAACGGCATTCTTGGAGGAGTGTGTGGGCTGTGCTGCAGCCACGAGGAGGTAAGCCTTGTATTTATAGCTGTGCTTCTCCGATGAGGGTGAAACACTATTGTTACTGATGCTACTATGGAGTCTTACTTAGCAGCTATTTTTTTTATGTATTTTTAAGCAACAATTCAGTGTGCAACTTTTTTTATAGCCCTGTTGTGTTAAACATTTTCATGGTAGTATTTGACCACATGCTTTCAGTTGATTCCTCAGCTGTCACAGTGAGGTTAGTCTGCATAGCAACTGGAAGCCTTTTTTCTTCCTGTGGCACGTGTGGTCATTAGCACTACTATATAGATGATATAATAAAATACAAATCTGTTAATGGTGATGGTCTTTGCCATTGCTGCACAGTGGGGTGCAGTTTTGTGGTGGGGTGCTTGTTCTGACTGTATTGCTTTAGCCCTGTATTTTGCTCACAGACTACTGAGAATGTTGTACGTCATGAAAACTGCAGCATCCTGGCCTTGCTTTGTAAAATTAAGATAAGGAATAAACTGCACATAGCTAACAAAACCTGCAGAAAGATCTGGGGTTTTTTTTTGAATGAGGAGGGGAATTTCATCCAAATTTCTTCGGAGTCTTGTTAAACAGTTTGAGTATGTTGTTGTAATCAGTATCGTAGCGGTAGTGTTGGAATTGCAGTGGTTTAAGGTATGAACCAGATACGATTTATCACACACATGTGTTATGGCTGAGTGTTTCAGTTTTTAATTGGCATAGTTGAATGTTGGGGCTCTTTCAAAGCTATTACTGTCCTCTTGTTCCTGTCCTCCATGCTGTAGCTGCAGTATCAAGAGCCATGCTATGGTTGTCTAAATGTGGTCAGTTAAATTTAGCTCTTACAGTTGGATACAACATTAGAGTTCTTCCCCTTAATATGTGTTTCTTTCTTTTTGTTCCCCCCACAGACATACGTTTGCTAGAAACCTGACAATGCATTGACATCGGGGCACCTGTGGTGTGTGGGTTTTTTTATATTCCATGCATACTAAAATGCACACTGTTTGTTGTCAGACTGTGCTGTTGCCATCAATTTAACTGACTCGGGGCCAGCCTTTGTTGGAGTCATATGCAGGTTTTCCTCTAACGAGCCTGTATCTAAGGGGCAAAATGTATTCTGAATTTCTTTGGTTCATTTCATCTTAGTATGGGAATGGCCTGAACATGTCAACTGAAGATACCTTTTTTTTTCCTTTCTACTGACACAACAGCTCTGTACTTTATGCTGTCTTCCCAATAAAGTTGCACTTTCATTCTGGTGTTGGAATGAACACAAACCCAATCTAGTCTGGCTGGGGTATAAACGAATACTCGGCTGGAACAAAAGCAAAGCAGCAGTAAAACTTGAATGATCGAGGGTAGATACATGCACTTCACCTTTTCAGGATTTTTTGGAACATCTGCTGTCTTTCACGAATAAAGATTTGTATTAAAATGCCCAGCAGGTGTCAGTGATTCTTTCCTTGGCAATGTGGAAACACTGCTTCCCTGGCCTTAGAGTAAGGGACCGTGGGGACATGAGAATATGCATGTAAAGCAGTCATGTTATAACCTCCTTTTCCTCTCCAGCAGGTTCTGTCAGAGTGGGAGCTGCTCCACTGTTTGGTTTGGATCGTTTAGCCGAGCCAGGTGATTGCGCATCAGCAGGGGTATGATTGATAGTTCAGTGGCATCACTGGGGTCTGACAGTTCAGTGGCAGCTCTGACGGATACAGCTGTGTGCGTGGAGTCCCAGCCCTGGCTCAGGGCTCGCAGTTCATGGCTGGTGGCTCTTCAAGGGCTGGAGTTGAGTTGCCTGGCAGTTGAGCCACTGCTCTGTGTCCCTTCTGCTGCTCTCCCAAGGGGCCTCACTTCCTGACTGCTCAGTCTTGAGACAAGACACCCTGCAGGTCTGGGGCCTGTTTTGTACCTCAGCAGACCCCCAGGCCTGGCAGGGTTCAGACAATATAGTGCAAATTCAAGTCAGCAGTGGCAGATTAACCTGAAATATCTGACTTCACCAATAATCAGCCTGGAGACAGTATTCTAAGGTCCTGTGCAAGAACCTCTGAAGTGTAGTTTGTAGCGTATTACAGTGAATGTTTTATCACAAGATAAAGTAAATCTGAATGATATGCTGTCAGCAGCACTGGCAAGGTCAGTGTGCTACTGGCAGTGGTATCTTTAAAGTGAAAACCGAAATGAGACTGATTACCACTATTGCTGAGTTTTGGAATGTACCATTTAATGTTGTCTTTGAAAACAGGTAAGTTTCTGTTCATGGGAGAAAAAAGAACTCCCTGTGGATGTCATGCATACTTAGTACTACTGTAACTAGGAGGGAGGTCTTTCAAAGGCACCCAGAAACTTGGGGTCTATCACACGCTGTCCTCACAGTCAAGTCTGCCCAGTACAAATATGTATCTGAAAAAAATTAATTAAATGTGAAAATTAAATTGTGCACACGCATCTGCAGCAGAAAAAGCTCACAGGTGGGAAGAATGTGTTTAGAATCTCAGGACAAATACCATTTATTCATACATAAATAAGTAGAGGTAGGTGAGGGCAGTCTTAAATACCGTTTCTGTTTGTTGTGTTTATCTGTGCCTTGCCCTACTATGGGAGAGAGAAGAATATGCATGTGCATGTGTGTATACACACACAGTTCCTTGCAACTGTGCAGTATGGTGTCTCTGTATATGAAGCAGCAGTCTTTGAAAAAGGATTTGCAAATTTAAATTGTGTGTAGGGAGAGGAGAAGAAAACGAGGGTCTCAATAGAGTAGGGTATAATTCCCACACAATTTACAGATATTTTTTTTTGCCTTTGTGTTTCCATAATTGTTACTTTTATTTGATACACACAACTAATTAAAGAACTGAAACAATTTTAGAGCTTCCAGTGGACAGAATGATTAGGCTAGAGTTTAGGATTAAAACTTTAGCTCAGATCCACATAGCACTAACACACAGCATTACTCCTCACTGTTTGTGGCCTGATGCATAAGACAGTGTTTTGGGAGTTTGATCAGTTACATTATGGAGAAGTGGTACTTTCAGGTTATATTCGTTTCAGTTAGCAGAGCAGTCACTCATCCAGAGTAAACATGACTTTTCGGTAATGGGCTCGGCACCAACTCAGGAATATTGACAGCAATGGGAAAGCAGTTCTTGCAACACTTGGTAAGATATTTGAGAAACAGTTTGCTGGGTTTGCTTAATACTTGCTATAAAATGGTTGCTTCCTGTTCTAGCAGTACCATGTGCCAGCAAAAAAACACACCTTGATTTGGTATTTGCGGAGTTCGGTTCCAATACAAAATAAATCCTGATGCGGAGTGCTGTACTGCAGAATGAGTGCTGTTTCAGGTGTCGTTTTCCAACCAAGCTTCTTCTAATCAGAACAGATTACTACAAGAAGTAACAGCAAATTTGATTATGAACTAAGCTGCTCATTAGTGATTTTGGCCTTTGCTTTTAGAAAGAAATATTTCAGCCTATTATGTCTCTGAGTTTTGTAATAAAAAAAAAAAAAAGAAAATCAGTCCTGGGGATGTGATGTGCCTGCTTTTAATTCAGCTGTTTCCTCTGATCTGTAAGACAGAGCGTTGATGACGTGTTCTGTCTGTGCCTGTGACCCTGCAAAGGGAGGTTTGCTGCTAACTTCGATTAGAGGGAAACCTGAAAAAACTGTCCATAGTGATTAGGGAGTAAATCAGAAAATATGGAAAGATCCTCAAAGTAGAGTCTGAGGACTTCAAAATAAAACTATCTAGACAGAGGAGAGGGAAATGGGAGAGATATCAGAGAATAGGTAGAAAAATTGTGTAATCGCATGAGTGTCACCATGCCCATTTTCTTGGGTGATCTCATTCAAAGCAATCAGAAGGAATTCGTTACAACATGCAACCCAGCTTTTATGAGATCATGGGAGGAGCCTCCTGTGTGCAGAGCCTAAAACAAGCTCATGAGGAAACAGAAGGAAAATAGGCCATGACATCATTGCTTCTAAAATCAGCTGTCTTGCTTTTGATAAAGCCCCAATTTTTTTTTGTTCTCTGACTATGACTTTCCTGCTGTGAGCATTCAGACAGCTCTGGCTCTGTGTTACTGTGGTGAATGTTTAGTTGCTCAGGGAATGATGACACATGAAAATGGGGAAACTGTCTGGCTTTCGCTTTGCACAGTGCAGAACGACAGGCATTTCAAAAAACAGCCAGACCTTTTGTCCTGTACAAGAAGTCACGTGTCCTTAGGTCAGAGCCATAGCTGTGCATACTCAGCTGTAAGCACAGAATAGAGCAACTGGAGAAATAGCAGGATTTAATTTGTAAAACAGTTGAGCTGCGTAATTATGTGGCGAAGAGTAAGTAACTGAAGTGTGAAGTAAGTCTGCCTGTCAGTTTCTAACCAGTGTTATTTGGGCTTCTAGACTCTCCCTGCAAGGTAGCCGAGACTCAGCTTGGTGTTTTTGTCAGGCTGCCCCAAGCGAGCAGCAGGTGTTGTTGGTTGGCCCTTAGGGCCGTATCTGCCAAGCTCTGGTATTAATTCTGTGGTATGAGGCAGCGTGTGCCCCTCTGTACAAAGACTGCACCTATTTATCATTTGACATCTCCCTTCCCCACATAAGGTAGCAAGAGTTTTCAGCTGCAGTAAGGCTGAGCGTCACAGAATATCCACATCCTGGTCCCTGTTCTCGGGAGGAGTGTGTTTCTAAGCAGTCACTAGGAAATGAGATTTTTGAAGTTCCTTCCTGAGTCTGACTGCTAGACATGTTTCATTTGGAAGATCACAAAGGAGGATCTTTTAGAACGGAAACTGCTATTTAAAGACATGTGCTTAGAAAGGAAAATGAGTTTGGACAGTGGTACTCATCCATTGTTCTGTGAACCGTTAAACACCTCTGTGTCTCTGGAATCAAATCCCAGTCACCTGGTTCCGGTGAACGTGAAATGACTGAGTCTAGCTGAGGAGGTCCAAACACTTTTCATATCTAAAACCTTATAATCTTTTGTTAGCTTAGAAGAGCAAAACTTCTAAAGTTCTTGAGAGATGGCTTTAGAGACATGTGGAAGCTGTTTGAGTTGTCTGCTGATACCTCTTGCTCTTTGGAGTATTGTTGTTAATGTCCTATTATACTTCCCTAATGGAAAAGCTTCACATGCTGCCAGTTACCAGCTTCCCAACTACGTGTGGTATTTTGAAGGCATCTGTTTCTCAGGTGTGATGGTAAGTGTTGATTCTATGGATTTTTAATGAATTGCATTCTACTGCAAATAATATTGGGTTACAGTGCAGCGATGTAATTGTGCTTTTAAAGAGAACATGGATTACTTTGGTAAAATCACTGCAGGCAGGCAAACTTGATCAAACTGAAAAACATGTAAATATACTGAATGACATGCTGTGTAGACTCTTTAAGTGATTTTGCAGGGTTGACTTTTTTTTCTGCTGGCTTTTTATTTGTGTTATGCTTGTATTATGGAAGCAGGCACTATGTTGATTTAATCCTCTGTGGAGGTTGAATTAGAGCTCTTTTACCAAAACAAAATGGAACAAAAACTCAAAAAACTTCTCATAACTGTTAGATGTTTGTAAGAGCTGGGTGCAGCCCAGTATTTAGAGGACTGGACACAGTTCACAGTGCACCAGGTGCCACTGTTGTTAGTCTAAATACAGCTGATTGTCTCACAGATTGGCATAGAAGGATTTTCTCCATCACATTGTAATGTGCTCATCCGCAGTAGTAAGCAAACGCAGAGTTGCCCACTGCTCACACTGTTCTCTGTTCATAAAGAACTGTAGCCTCAGGGACAGAAGGCAGTAATGTAATAAAAGTGTGTGTGCACAGTCAGTGCTTAAACAGGTATCCTGCATGAGTAAGGTGTTTTTATGAAGGTCCTGAACTGGGAGAATTATTAAAGCATTAGACATTCTTTTCAAATTGTGTGTTCTTCCTAAAGCAGAAAAACCTTATCTCTTCCAGTTGAGTAAAAAACTGTCAGGTAGAGAATTTGAGCAGAAAAACATAGTTGAAAATTTGGGAAAAAGTTACCTGCACAGTGATATTGATCTTTTGAAGCATTTTTAGCCTTAGGATTATTACCAATTTATTAAAAACATATATATTATCCTGCAGCTTGTGAGAGAATAGTGCTGTAATTCAGAAACATTCCCTTTCTATATTTCGCCTTTCAAAACAGTGCCTCTCACAATTCATGATTCTGTAGTCCCAATCTTATTTACGGAAATTATTCTAGTATCAGGTTTAAATAATCCAATAATCTGAGAAAAAGGGTATGGATACTTAGCAGAGAAAGCAAACAGAAGTCCAAGTGAATTCAATGAAAAACTTGTACTACTGACTTTTTCTAGTATAACTGTTGGTGACAAGGGTGATAGAACTGTATCAGCAAGAAGCTGTTGAACTGGTGTGGTTGTGTCAGTGAAATACCCTTCTCTTCATTGGTATTGATTCTTGTGAGCTTGAGTTTAGTGCTTTCAGCTTCAGTGATACAGCTGTGTCTGTGCTGGTAACACTTTGCTGTGGTAGGAGACACTGTACTCCTGTCTTCCAAGTACTGAAACAAGTACAGTAACAGCTTGATAAAACAGTCCTGTGGTTCCGTGGTGTGCCTTAGCAATTGTGCTCCACTACTGAGCAGTGTTACAGTCTCAGCAGGACAGAGCCGATGCAGTCGCCCCCTCCCACAGGTGATGAGGCTTTGGCTTCTAATCTGCAGTCATTTCACTGACCTTATAATGTCCTCTTATAGATCCTTCTGTTGGCAGTAATTCTAATAATACTGGAGTGTAACGTGTTCTATCGGTGCTGCCAGAGTGAGAGCTGTAACAAAACCTACAGGGTGAGTCCATGTTTTATTTTTGTGCATCTCTTTAGCATTTGCTCTGAGCAGTTTCCTGCTTCTGTGTTTCCAGCACATCCTTCTGCCCTCTCTGCTGCTCTGTTTCTGCTTCCTTTCACAGAAAAGGATTCTAAACTGGGTTGAGAGGTCACAGAAAGTGTAGCACCTTCCCTCTGAAGCACAGGCAGGATGAAAGAATTAAGAAAAAAAAAAAAAAAAAGAAAAAAACCCACAAAAAATCCTTGTAAAATAAAAATGTAGAAGGCCTGAAAGTTTCAATGAAGTACCCCAACTGAATAGCTTCACCCCCTTGCTTGTATTATTTGGAAATTATTTTACACTATCTGGGATGCAAACATGTTTAATGTGTGGTTGTGTTCCTCTAGCATTTTGGGAAACAGTTTTGCAAAAATGCAAGGGTGTTTTGTTTATTTTAAATTAAAACCCCCAAACAATATTTAACTGAAAGTTGTGAAACTGTCTTAATCTTTATTTTGTGTGTGTATGCTCACTATTTTGTACCCTGGTATTTTTCTTTTTGACTTTTGAAGATTGGGATTATCAGATGTGAAATTCAACCCCAAGGAAGTAGCTAGGCAGGCTGAATGACTGTATTTGCTGTGGACACTGTGTCCACACAGTAATATTTTTCTTTCTTTACTGCAGAGTTTTATTTCGATTGTGCTAGCCCTTCTTGGAGTTGCTTTCTCTGGATACAGTTGCATCATTTTTACCTTGGGGTTGATCCAGGGCCCCTTCTGCAATTCATCACATGGATGGGATTATATCTTCAAAGACACTGCTGGAGGGTAAGAAACGTCAGTGTAACTCTGCTGGAGGAAACTGTTTATCAAAACGCGAGTCAGACAAATTCTCTGTTTTACACGAAATGGCATAATCTCTTGAACACAAGACCTATATTGGTGAGTGAGGTTTTTCAGCTTCTTGAATGAGCACCTGAATCCTCAAAGAAAAGCATTTTCCGCCTTGTTTAAAGAAAGATTAAATGTAGGAATCTTCATACTGATCAGACTTGGTGGTCCATCTAGGTAAATGTGATTGTACCCACCACCAGATAAGGAATGTGTAGTAAAGAGTGTAAGATCAGAGTGAGCGTAGACGGGTACTTTTGCAGAATATTCTCTCAAACCCCTCAAGGTTTTGGGTCAAAGAGTATAGATGGCATTTTTATATTTAATAACTCAATAGGCTTCTCTTCAGGTTCTAAAGCTCAGTGAAGTCTGTGGTTTGATCACTACTTGTTTTTTCATACAGCTGCTGTATCCCATAAACACCTAATCAAGGTACACAAGGTGTTGTCCATGTCCCAGCCTCCTCGAGGCATGAAAGGTTTGGTTCAGATCTGTAACCTGAGGCTGCTTTTGCAAGATTTTACATTCTCCCTTTAAAAGATCAGAGCTTTATAAGACTTGAGTATTTCCAGTCATATAATGCCAGGCTCTTCCAGCTGCATCTGAATGCACCGAGGATTAAATTTGTCAGAGAATCACAAACAAGTTTCTTCAGCATCCAACAGCGGTTCCTAAGCTATGGCCTTCTCTGACTACAGCCAGCTTTATTTTAAAACACTGAACTGCATCCTGCAATCTATGCTATGTATCACCAGCATTACCATCGCATTTGTAAATACAAAAATGAGAGTTTGAGTTCAGTGTAAAGGGCCAGATGCTGAATAATGTACTCCAGATTTGGCTCAAAGCATTTCAGTTATGAATGTTTTTTTTTTTTAAAAAAAAAAAAAAAAGAGGCAACTGACAACAAACAAGGGAGTCTAACAAAGGTTCTTACAATTGCCCTCCAGGCTATGGCATGTCTCAGTGAAAAGAGCCCATGTCAGCTGTGCACATTATGATCCCCAAGGATGCAGAGCATGGCTCTGGAACAACTGGAAGTGGCACCTGGTGACACTCACCTCGGGTCTGCCGTTTAGGCTGTGTGGACTGGTTAGACTGATGGTGTGGGGTGTTCCTGCTCTCTGCATGGGACTGGTGGCAGCTGGACTTAACCTAAAGCTGAAATTAAATCAATAAAATGAGAATTCCTGTTTTAAACTTGGCTTTTGCCATTTGAAAAAATAGCAGTTTCTTTCTAACACTCGAGTGTGTAACAGGGGAAGTAATGAAGCAGATGTATTTGATGAATAGAAGTCTCTTCACTCAGCTGAGTTTGTCAAACCTATGCAGGAGTTATGCTGGTGTAATGAAAGACTAGAGTCTGGCTCCTAAACTTGAAGCATATAAAGACCAGTATTATTTTTTCTATATATTATAGGTAAAATAATGTGTATTTAAATTGAATTGCATCCATCACATTTGACTGACTTCACACTGCTGTTTCTCCAATAGGTACCTCACAGATTACCTTGCTTGGTCTCAGTGCACTGAACCTGCTAACATAGTGGAGTGGAACACCATTTTACTCTCTATTCTGATAGCTCTTAGTGGACTGCAGCTGGTCATCTGTTCTCTCAAAGTGGTTGCTGAGTTGAAACGGACACTCTGCGGGAACTATTCTGTTTTTGTCCAGGTAACAAAATAGATGAGGTATTTTGTTTCTCTCAGTTGAGGGACCTACCCTTTTGGCTTATGTATTCTCTATGCTACTGCATTTTTATTACCAGAGGATATGTACTGATAACAACTCTGTTGTGTTTCATTCATTTACCCTTATGGAATGCGGATACTGGTGACTGCTTACGCTGACCTCTAGGTCTAAGACTGAGAAGAAAAAAATGTGGCTAGGGATTCAGCACTGATGCAGAGTCCATTACTCCTATGTCAGCAGAAGTTTCTAAGCACCTTCTAGTATTTAATTTCAAGTCATTGTTATCAATGTCTGGGTTTCACAGCAAACAGAAAGATGCAGGAGGTGATATGTAGCAGTCATGATCTAGGCATCAGTAGGCCTTCTGGTTTTGGATGGGGTAGAGTTAATTTTCCTTCTTAGTAGCTAGAATAGTGCTGTGTTTTGGGTTCAGTATGGGATTTGGTATGAGAACAATTTTGATAATACACTGATGTTTTCAGCTGTTGCTGAGACATGAAGGACACTCCAACTCCCCATGTCCTGTCTGTGTGCAGATGTGTAAGAAGCTGGGGGGAGCGTGGCCAGACGACTGTACCCAAACTGGCCAATGAAATATTCCATATGGTGTAACGTCACACTCAGTATGTAAAGGAGAGTCAGCTGGGAACTGGGGGGTTCTCTTTTGTTTCCGGGATTGCAATTACAGGAGCTTGGATTCCTTCAGGATCACCAGCCAGGAATGGGCTTGGTATCAGTCAGCAGGTGGTGAGCAGTTGCATTGTGCTTTACCTGTGTGTATTTTCTGTTATTGTTTTACTTTATTTCAGTTATTAAATTGTTTTTATCTCAACCTATGGGCCTCCTTTTACCCCTCCAACATTCTCCCCATCCCCTGGAATGGGGAGCAAGCGGCTGCCAGCTGGGTTCAAACCACAACAGTAATAACAGAGGGCTCTGCTTTGGGCGGAGGAATGAGGTAGAACCCTGGAGCTCAGGTGGCTGATGCTGCCAACCTGCATGCTGGTGGGGAGTGGTGTGGTTCAGCCTGGCACTCGGTTTCCTCAGCGTTGGAGGGAGGGTGACATCAGAGTTTACCCTTCCCTGCCCGACTGCACTGGGATTGAGGAGCCCTCGGGGTTTGTCACCAACAGTCTCAGTGATGACAGCTCATTTGAGAGAGATTTCTAATTCAGAAAAGCAGCCATCGCCAAGGGCGTGCCTGCACGCCCACACCCCCATACACACATATATCTGTACAGTGGCACACGCAGAGAGCACGGGGTGGGTTCCGCCCGCAAGGGGAGCGCTGGGTGGGCAGCACCAGGCCTCCCGAGCAGCGCTGGCCAGGGAGCTGCGGTGCTGCGGCGTGGGCGAGCAGGAAAGGGAGAGCTGCTCCTGGGAGCTGGCTGTGACAGCAGCCCAGGGTGAGGTCAAGGCCTGTGGCAATTTTGCTGGCAAGAGGAGTGTTTTGAGACAAAAGAGCCTCGCCAGCCTGGGACCCAGTCAGCTGCCACTGAAGGCAAAAGCGAGACTGCGGGCTTGTCCCTGGGCACAGGGCAGGGTCAGCTCTGAGCTCCAGGTGCATGTTGGGTTTAGACTGGATGTCAGTTTGAACAGTCGAACAACTTCCATGTTGACTTGACTTGGAAAAAAGAGGGCAACTACTTCCTTTTTTATTTTCAGGCCAGGATTCTCTGAAAATGACAAGGAAATCTTCGCTGCTTCTCCCCCACACCCAGAGAAAGAGAGAAATGGCTTCTCCAGCATTTATGGTGGTAGTTTTGGGTGCTGCAAAAACAAATTAAGCCCTTGTCTTAAATCTATGTCTCTCAAGCCTCTCTGTTTTGGATGAAGTTCCTGAACTGTGACATCTACATTTTTCTACTTGTTTTCTAACCTGTTCAGTTGTCCCTGGCAGTGACGCCCTCCCACTTTTTTTTTTTTTTTTTTTTTTTTTAATAAACTGCTGTAAAACTGTTATAGAGCTGTTATACTCCCCTCTTTTTGTTTAGAACACAGGTAAGGGTCTGAGTCACATGGCAGTATGTCAGGAGGGGTTGTTCCCTGGAGAATTAGTGCACCAGGTGAAGCCATGGTTTCTAAATTAATAGATTTTAGTTACAGATAGACTGTGATGGTCACAAAAGGCAGCAACCTGACCTGCTCATTCTGTCTTGCAAGTTCTTAACTGCATGATTACTGAAAAAAGTCTATCAAGCCTCCCTGCAGGTAAGGCTTTTAGAAAGGCATCCAGGCCTGATTGAAGATAAGATAGACAGCTCTGAAGTTAGCTGTGCTAATTAGTACATATTAATAGCTGCACTGGGTTTCTTTTTATTTTATACTCAGAGGCAAACTTTTTTTTTTAAATCTGCTACTATATGGCTGGAGGGAATATGTGAGGGAACAGTGTGAGCACCTAGTGCTAGCTTAATACTCTTCTAAATACCCTGACCTTGCTGCAATGGAAGGCTAATGTTCTTGACAATAATAATCAGATGAAAAAGAATAATCTGTTTTAAATAAGCAGCTAAAAAGTCTTTTTTCACAAAGAATTATTATTTCATTCCTAGTGGAAATTCAGGGATTCACAATGAGCCACAAGTGGACATGTGGCTCATTTGCAGCTGCATGTGCAACATCTGGCTGTATCCAGATTTTGAGAGAATGAACGCCCAGGGAGAAGCGAAATACATACTTCAGACTTGCAGTAATGCACATACCCCTGTTACATCAGAATGAGCAGGATCCAGCTATATCAACATCTAATAAGCACTGTTAGAACGGCAAACCATACAATAAGTGGTAGCTGCAGGTAAGATATTTAGAAAAATAGAGTATATCAGTCATTTAATTCTGTTTCAAGACAATATTGAGATTTTGCCGTGATATTCCTTTACCAGATTATTTTGAAAAGCTTATTTCTTCTGTAGGATTTGAAGAATGCATGTAAAGCATGTAAAACTAATAGCTTAGTTTCTATTAAGTTAGAAGTTGTTAACAAATTAATTACATTTAAGAATAGGGCTAGTCTTTTGGCAGACAGTGCAAGGTGTCATGGGTGTTCGGAGGTGCATGATAAAAAGGCACGACTATACAATGGGGGCTGTTTGCAACTGCACTTTTGTTTTTCCTTAGTCTTAAATATGCATCATATTGTATATCTAATTAAATTATAATCCCACATTCTTAGGGATTTGTGGATATTGATTATGAACAGAAGGAAAAGAAAGGAAACTTAACAATCAATCTATACTGCTACCAAAGATCTTGGAGAATCTTGCTGATTTCATGCCAGCAAACCATGGAGCTGTTTATTTTGAAAATGTTAGAAATATTTGAAAAAAGGTTTTTCAGTATTCGGATGAAAAATAGTCTGTGTGGGGTAGATATTCAAAGCAGAAACCCATTAGAATTGCTAAATATTCCTGAAGTGAAGGGTGCCATTTCACTGAGGAATGTAAACAAATGGGGTATTCTATTCAGACTCCAGCTCAGCCACTGGGAAAATACAGGCTTATCTTTAGGCAAACAGGGTCTACTGAGATAGATTTTTGCTATACTGGATGAGAGCAATTAAATACCTTAAAGTTACACCTGGAAACCGTTAACCCTTTATCTTGCTCCTGCATGTGTCCTTTATGCTTTTCAGTAACTTCTGTCTCTAACCATGGAAAGTCTTGAGCTTGGTAGACAGGAGACACAGAGAACAATATCTGGCTTTTCCATAGTAGTGGTATTAGTGGCTGTACCTAATCACTGGCAAGGCTTGGCTGTCTTTAATATTTTCCTTTTTTGGTGATTGTGTCTTGTGAATTTACATTTCTGCTCTAACACTGGTTGATTATCTCCTATTTCAGCAGTTTAAATCAAAGAATGAGTTTAGTTCTCATTGGATTTAGTGATCTGCAACCCTCTTCATCCATAATCCAGATATGACTTGACTGCTCAGCCTTTAAATAAGCAGTTTATCACTTTGAAATTTGTAGAAATACTAAAGGCTAACAGTGGGTTGCATTTACAAATTTAACAAATTGTTTCACACTGGGCTTTTGATGTAAGGCAAAAATAAACTTGATCTAATCAATGTGAGTCCCGATTCAATCCTAAATATGGCATCTCTAACAAGAGATGCCATAAACTGTGTGAAACCAGGATTCCTGTAAGGAATATGAACTGACTTAAAAACTAGACGTAAGGGGTGACGCTGGTGGTGGTGTTTGAGGTATGTGACCCTCTGGCTCCCCTGCGGTACACAGACTTCACCCCAACAGCAGCAGGGAGGAGTGGGCTGCAGAGCCGGGACAAAGCTCTCACTGCTGACATATGAGAAACCCTTTTTTGAAGAAGTGTTCCTGAACGTGAAGTGCATGTGCTGAAATCCACACATCAAATACCCTGGGCACACCTGAAAGCAAGCTGCAGATTTGAGTTTATAAACTTCTTTAAGTGAGGAGTTAATGCTGAAATATAGAAGTAAGAGTTCCAGCATGATTTTTTTCTCACAGCCAGTGTCTTCTGCCTGAATATTACAATGCTGTGTCTGGAGCAGGAACGTCCTTCGTTTAAAGCCCTGCAAGGGGAAATAGCTGTAGAGGCAGCTGTCAGAACAGCAGCATGGGCAGCAGACTATAAACACATCATTCACGTTAGGGAATTATGAAATTGTGGAGTTTCACTTCAATCTTGCTGGGAGCTTTTGTTGAGACTTTTTTTTTTGTCAGAATATTCCTTCTTTTTTTTCCTCAAGGAAAATTTTTGAAATAAAAGATCAACTCTATATTTTCAATGCAATTTCGAGGACTTTCAGAACAGTTACAGCATTTTGGCATCCTCAGTATGAAAAATGAGGTATTGTGGTTTAAAACAATAAGGGGATATTCTTGATGCCGAACTGCAGACTCAATTTAACCAATTAAATTAGGTGTTCAGTCTTTTTAGGCCCTGTCTACCAGAGGAGAAAGGTTCCTGCTCTTCAGACACCTTCTGAAGATAATACAGGCTTGGGAAGCTCAGTCACCTCTATCAGATTTTTTGAGTTCCTTAAGAGAAAGATAATAGCAGTGTGGTCAGGCAGAGGAGTATCTTAGTTTGGGTGAGGCATGATTAAAAGAGGTAATGGAAAACCTTGCCTATCAGAAGTTTCTGTTTTATCTTTAAATAAAAACAACATGTAGGTTTTTTGCAAATCAAGAAAGAGCTATTTAGAGGCGTCAAGGGACTAAGGCAAAGAAATGCTTGTGGGTTTACCCTCAAATAAATGTGGGGATTTCAGGGATACTGCTTGTGTGTTTTTTCTCTTTCTCAGTCCAATGGAAATTTGAACAAAAATAAACGAAATAGGCCATATATACATGAACAAAAGCTAAGTATTAAGGAATTACTTTGAATTTAATTAGTGTAAGAGGAGGTAAATGTTTTCTCATTTTTACCTCAGTCAGTTTACTGATGGGGTATGTGCAACCTGTACAAGCTGATCTTTTTACTGAATCACTGGCCTTCATCCATGGCAAAGCAAAAAAAAAAAAAATCCCTACAGAAATTATTTTGAGCATGTGATGCCAACCTGGGAAACTCCAGAATTTCATCATAGATTTGGTCAGATTTCAAAAACTTGGCTTTGGCCACAGTCACAACATTCTGACAGTGCCTGAAATTTTTTGAGTAGTGATTAAAATTGGAGAATTATCTGTACACTGCAGTCCTAGTTAATAAGGTTTAGATTTGTATGTCATTAAAGGAAACCAGTTCTACTTTAGGTATGTTCTGAATCTTAGTCTTCTATCCAAAATAATCATATTTTTTCTGACCATTAAGAAAACAGCTTCAAAGATGATTGTGGCTATTACAGATAGTTTTAAGTTACCATACAACCAAAGATGACATTTAGAATGAGTGTGACTCATTTAGAATGAGTGTGACTGTGTCAGTGCTCAGAGTGCAGAAGAGGGTTTTTTTGAAAATTCCCAAGTGACTGAAGATATGTATTTTTTAATAGAAATCTTTACAATTCACAAGTTTACAGGTGGCTTTGTAGTCTAAAGCTTCAGACACAACCATGATGTAACAGATGTTATGCTTGAAAAAAAATGCGGTTGCAAACTTTAGGTGATTTTTAAACATACCATGTTTAAGGTCCAATTTTTTTCTTATTTTTCAATGAGATTAAAAGATACAAAACGCTTACAGAACTTGAATAAAGAAAGAGTATGGGATTCTGCACTGGGTAGTCCATTTAGATAATGGTAACAGTTAAGCTTATCTGGAACTTTATACCTCTACTGTGCTTTTAATCACTGAAGAATGTGGCTTATCCTGTCTGGTGATAGACGTGGAGGAAGATAAAACACAGGGAGTTCATTTTGTGGAGTTTCTGAGCCTCGTTTCCATTTGGGCAATACTGACAGCGCTTGGAAATGAGATGCAGACACCCCCCCCGCCTCCACCCGTGACCTTTTCATCTCCAGCTCGGGATGTCACCCCTGGTGCTAGGGCGACGTTTCCAGGGGAGCCGTGGTGGGTTATCAGGGCTCATCCCCGCGGAGCTCAGCGCCTCCGCTCTGCCCTGACAGCCGCAGCCCTCGCTCCTCGCCCGCTGGCGGCGGGGAAGGACCTGCGGGCCGGGGGTGCGGAGCGGGGAAGGGAGCCGGGCACCCCGGGGCTGCCCAGCGCTGCCCAGCGCTGCCCAGCGCTGCCCAGCGCTGCCCAGCGCCCCGTTACACCCCACCCCGGTGCTCTTCGGGGCTCTTCACCGCCCGCTTCGAAAGCGGTGTTCGTGTGCCACACCTCACAGCGATTATTCTCAGTAGTATACAAGCTATAGAGCGATAAAGATAATGAGAAATGTAATTACGGTTAAGCCTGTCAATCCACTTAAATCTACAGCACTTTCAATTCAGCTACAAGATTTACGATCCAATAACAGCACAAATGGTAATTTGCGTGATAGTAGGTTGGCAGAAATTGAAAAAATTTCTTTGAAGATTATCTGAACTGAGGAAGTTACCAGAATCATTTGTTTACTCTGGACACACAGAGACATTGTGCAACATTTTATTGTGTTCACCAAAGCAAACAGGAGTCGAGAGGGGGAGGAGTAAGGCGGGGGGACGACGGGACAAGAACACATAAAGGGAAATTGCATGTGCCCGTCCTGTGTTTTTATTTCATATTTTCTTCAGGAACGCAAAATGAAGCTTTTCTTCCTAAGTTGCTTGCTGGTCTCTTGCTGTTGCCAAGTTGGGGCAGTGAGCAGGGAGTACTACATCGGCATTAGAGAGACAGTGTGGAACTATGCACCTGGCAACACCAACATCATCTCTGGGCAGCTTTTTGCAGAAGAAGAGTAAGTAAAACAGTTTCTACTGGTTGGGTTTGGTTTTACCACGTTGTCTGCTTTAGACACTAGGGCCAGACTGAAAACCTTATGAGGGCAGTGAAATGAATGTAGGTGTCAGTGGATTTTCTGTCAGACATACACAGGAATTTTGATTTTTTTCTTGCGCTGCATGAGAATTGAGTTCCAATGGTCTGCTAATTAAAAGTATTGGAATATGTAGGGGTTTTGTGAATTTGTTGCAATGAAATGTTTACTAAGTAGAGACTAGAAAAAGACCCTTGAAAGTCTAGTCATAATTCTGAATGAATAAGATGCTAGTTCTGAAGAGAAGACTTTTGCCGTTATGTTTTTAAACACAGAAGTTTGACAAATTTAAAACTTTCCGATTGGGCACAGGTTTCCTTTTTAGATTTTATTGGCACTGGTCATTTTCACTTGTGTAGCAGCTCAGCTGGGTCCTTGCATCCAGTGGAGGAGCTGGGTTGCTTGTTACACTGCAAGAGTCCTGTACAGCATGAGAGTGGTGAGTAGGATGAGGATAGGTGTGGTGAGGAGGAGGGGAGCACCCTGAAGATATGAGTAACCAAAAAAGAAAACCCATATATAAAAGGCATCAGAGAAGTATTTGAGAGAGAAAAAAACTACCTTTTTTTTTTTTAGAGTCTTTAAAATGAAATAAAACTATACTAAAATAAAGAACAGTTAAGAGATAAATCAGAAATTGGAAAAATCTCAGAAATATAGTTATCGTTTGGTCTGTAGATGAGGGATTAGAAGATTTCCTGTGGTTTACTTTCTCTGGTGAGAGCCAACACTCAGCCACAGTCAGCCACTTCATCAGGCATGAGACACAGCAGTCAATTTTTAATTTTTTTTACTCATAAACAGAGTGACATGTAAGACCCTGACAGTGATTCAGCAGGCTGGTAATTCTGATAAATGGTGGAAGAAGGGCATCTTGTCTGAAAATTGCAGAGCTGTGTTGTAATATAAGTGACTACCATTCACTGCACTTTCACTGCTTTTCTCTGCTCTGTGACAACCTGCAGCATGTTAAGTTAATTCCAGTTTTTCAGTGGTTGTATGCCTGCAGTGGAGCTAGTCCCCTTTATCTTGCTTTTCATTTTCAGATGCTCTGATTCTTCTCCTTCTGAACCCTTCAACCATGAGGCTGTGCTTGTACAGAGGTTGATATTTATAGAGATAGGGAAGAGCAGGAGAAGAAGTGTGTGTGCCTGCTAGAAAGAATACCCTACAATTAAATGTTTAAATAGTCCAAGAAGACCCCATAACATATTTGTTTGAATTAATTTGTGGCTGAAAAGCTTCATGCACTCAGACTTTCCGTAACTGAGCCTTTACAACTAAGTTTATGCTCTCCAAATTTCATGGAGCTCTGAACTGGCATTCTACTTACACTTCAGATCTGTGCTTGCCAAGGTACAAACAATTCCGTCCCCACATTCTCAGACAGTGCTCAGCCTTGTGGAAAATGCTTTGCATTTTGGGGCATTATTAACTGGCTTCACAGTATTGCCTGCTGGGAGTATGAAACCAAGTTGGCTTGGTTTCTCATCATGTAGAAATCAGGGGGGTGCTGAACTTTAGGCAGCGTTGCCCAATCTCCCAGGATTGCCTCCTTCCAGAATAGCCTTACTTCCACGGCTAGTCCTCCTGAAATGGGCAGGGAACCACGCAGCAGTATTTGTTGTTAAAGAGGCTCTAGAGCTTGGGTTAACAGCAGTAGGCAACAGGAGCACCACTGGTTTGAACAGCCAGTGCTTCGAATTGCTCTCACCATTGGAGTTAGCCAATATAAGCACTTTCTCCATAAAAATAACTCTTCTCAAGAGACTAAAATATTTAATGGAAGATACTTGACCCTCAGCACAGGCAAAGTTTGGCTCCAATGCTGTTCCCAGCTGGTAGCTGACAGAACCTGGTGACCCCTAGCCTGTGGCTGGTGGTCCTTGGGCAGCGTGTCCATCACAGCTACATGTGTTAGAGGGGTTGATACCATGTGTAGGAAACACCATCTCCACCAGCCTCATCTTAGCTCATGGGTTAGGCTGTTTCCTTGCTAACCAAGCTCTCATTGTCAGTATAAGAGTTTCATTATTGAGAGGAGCAGTGGTCCAGCAGTTACAGCACTTAGTGATTGAGGAGGTTATTGATAATTCCCTGCTCTCATGTAACCTCTTTCTATACTCTTGAGCTGAATCTATAAAAATGAGATTTTCTTAGGGTAAATCTCTGTCAAGCTCTGAGGCTGTGGTTGTTCTTCATCTATGACTGATGAGGAAGCTGAGAGCTTGGACTCACTCCTTTCAGCACTCTGCATCCCCCTCCCCTGCCCCACACACTCTGGACCTTAGCAACACCATGTAGTTTTGCTTATGTCCAGACATCTTAAATGTATTTTACAGCTGAAAAGTCTGCTACTTATTACAATGGAGCAAGGATTATGCAGTCAACGTGATGGTGTGATAATGGAAAATACTATTTTTAACAGGCTATGGAAAATCATACAGCAATTTAAGCATGCGAGTACAAAAATTCTGAGCAGTAAGAATTATTATTTACCTTGTCCATGTGGTCTAAAATTTGCCCAGAATTGTATCAGCTACCCTTATCTTCAGTCTATCAAACAGGTAGAAAAAAATTCGTGTTGGTGCATAATATTTAATCTCCATATGGATGCGTAATTCTTCACGATAAGAGACCTGTTTGCTTCTAAATACAGATATAGCAATGCACATGCTACAGAGGCCTGGTCTTTATTTGAGACCCTACAAATTAACAGCATTCAAATATACAATGAGTATCAAACACTGCAGATGTGTCTGTGTATTTCCTTTACAGGCAGGCTGGAGTCTTTCTCAAAAACGGACCACATAGGATAGGAAGCACTTACAAGAAGGCTGTCTACACTCAGTACACTGATCATTTATATGATATAATGGTTGACAAACCTTCCTGGCTGGGTTTCTTAGGCCCTATCATTAAGGGAGAAGTTGGAGATTCTATTATTATTCACTTGAAAAACTTCGCTTCCAGAAGCTACACACTGCATCCACATGGTGTAAGATACACAAAGGAAAATGAAGGTAAGAATTCATAAAGAAGACTATTTTAGATTAACATTTCACCTGAAATAAGAGTATGTATATTTCACCTGAAATAAGGGTATAAAGGTATATAGGAGATGCAGGTATGGAGGATATCTAGAGGAAAAATTGATGGTGTTGTGAAGAAGGTATTGTTAACTTACAATTCCAGATTCTTAACACTTAATTTGTATGTACTGCATATAAGATACACAATAATTTATTAAAATGGAGATAACCATTACCAATGTACTACTTTGTACATTGGTACTGCTACTGCTTAGTAATAAATTAGTAATTAATAATAAATTAATGAGATAAAAATCTGACAGCCTTTAAGATGCATTGTAGGGGTGCTATTGGGATTAGTGGTGATTCACCCTTGCAAGAGCTGGTCTTGCTACATTCAGGTGATGGGAGATTTTCTGCACCAGACACCACCAGAATATGGCTGTTAAAAGTTTTATTAGTGGGCCTTAAAAACAGTATGTGAATTGTTGGGAATATGATGTTGTCTCAGAAACAGTCTTTAAAAGTTTTTCATTAGAAGAATTTATGAAGTATCAGTCTAACTTCTAATATTTCATGAAGATTTTCATTACAACTAATATGTGGCTTGATACAGACACATTCTGTGGGAGCAGAACAGTGTGTGATGTAGCAGTACATGCACTTATTAGAGAAATGTTTAGGGTTTTTTTTTCTGTTATTCTCATTCCAGTGACACCTGTATACCTTGAGGATGTATGCAATATTTTAGAACAGTTTCCAGGATTAATGTTTAACAAATGTTTTATAAATAATTGAATTGTTATCTTTTTATCAGAAGTACATAGTTCCCTTCTAATAAATTAAGGACTAAATTTCACATGCTATTAATTGAAGTGCTCCTTGAAATTCAAAGGTAATTGAAGAGACTCTGAAAGAGAAGGAAAAGATCTATTCACCTGACTTTATTTTAACCTGTATTCAGATGTTCAGTCCATGTTACTGCAGCATGTAGTCAACTAAAGCATGGCTGGTGCTATCCTGACACCATACTGTGAATGTGTTGTGTTAATGGTGGCTGCATCATGTTCTTCAGGTGCTTTTTATCCCGACAACACCAAAGATTTGCAAAAGAGAGATGATGCTGTTGAACCTGGCGGCCAGTACACTTACACATGGGACGTGACGGAAGATCAAGGTCCAGCTGAGGGAGATGCAGACTGCATAACCAGGGTTTACCACTCCCACATAGATGCTCCAAGAGATGTTGCTTCAGGGCTTGTTGGGCCTTTAATAATTTGCAGGAAAGGTAAACCATAAATAAATAAATAAATAAATACACATGCAAGGTGATTGGTAATGGTTATCAATAAATACTCATGAAATAATTTACTGGAAAAGGAGAATATTACAGTTAATTTTGAAATAGCAGCCTTTTGTCTTCTCAATTAGCAGCCTTTCAATAGTATAGAAAGTAGTTTGATTTTGTGTGTGACAGCAAATATAGTTTGCAGAATATTTTGTCCACAAATCCATATGGATGAGATGTGTTCATGCTAGTAATGCAAAAGGATATGTAAATACTGATATGAGAAACAGATTTACTGTAATCTTATCACATGCGATATCTATTGTTCGTAAAGTTATTTTAAAGTATCTATCAAAACCAATTTTTGTTTTCTGAGTGTGTCTGTGAGTTTATGTGTACACTCATACTCAAGAAAAGTGGCAAAATGTCAAGTAGAAAGTGACCAGCCCTACTGATACTACACTTAAAACTGATGAAAAAATGTCAGTTGCCAAAGATTTGAATGTACTGCTTTCTTTTTCAGATACAATGAATAAAGGCAATGATGAACACTTTGCTGAATTTATCCTTATGTTCTCTGTGATGGATGAAAATCTCAGTTGGTATCTAGAGGATAATATCAGGACATACTGTTCTGAGCCTTCCAAAGTTGACACAGATGACGAGGACTTCCAGGAAAGCAATAAAATGCACTGTGAGAGAACATTATATTAATGTTGCTTGTCATTAGTATGGTGGAGTAATATTTCCATATGTTGTCTCTCTTAAAGATGAGCTGTAGAGAATTTTTTTTTTTTTTCCCCTAAGCAGGGCTTTTTCTGGAAGGATTGAGAAAGATCTTTTTAAACACAAAAAATATTAAAAAGTGATGGCAAATATTGTACAATCAAACCTTTGGAGTTGTCATATAAAATTCTTAGCGGCCAAGAACTTCTTTGAAAGTGTAGTTTCCCAGGTGCTCTAAATAGACTTATGTTACTTTATTCTGGTTTTTAGTCCTGAACTCTGTGCTATAATACCACAGGTTAGAAAACCAGTTTTTACTGTTAGTGTCAACAAAGAAGATACCTTTGGCTCTGATGAGGATTCCAGAATCATAGCAGGAACTGCTGGTCATGCAGGTAGTTGTGCAGATGAATTGTGTGTCTGATATTGGCACACTTTCAAAGGTGCAGTTTTCTTTTGAGCCTCTTTCTATTTCGAAGAATAGAGCAATGGTTGTATGATATCTGCTTTTGAAGAAAAGATCCTAAGGTCTGTGAATGTAACTGAATAACATTTCTTCTAGCAATCAATGGGTATATGTATGGATACCTCCCAAACCTCACAATGTGTGTGGAAGATAAGGTAAAATGGCATCTTTTTGGCATGGGTAATGAAGCTGATATCCATTCCGCCTACTTTCATGGACAGACCTTAATAGAAAGGCATCATCGAGTGGACACCATTAACCTCTTCCCAGCCACGTTTATTGATGCTGTCATGGTGCCAAGGCATTCTGGGGAATGGCTGCTCAGCTGCCAGGTGAACGACCATATCGAAGGTACAGAACAAGTTCCAGTGGTGAGAATATTTTTAGCTTGAGCTAACAGTTTCCTGAGTCACTTTAGCAGTACTCCTGACCTGGTCATATACCAGACGATGTTCTCCTCTAGGTAACAGGATTCTTATGGTAATTGAAATGCCTAGAGGTGTGTTAGATGGGCTTGAGCATGTAGCTACGGAACTCAAGGAAATTCTTGTCTGTATAGAAATCGTTATCAGTTGGCAGCAATTGGCACAGCTGCACTTTTGCAAGTCTCAACTGTAGATAAATCATAGCATGACATTTGCCTCTTACTGAAGGTAATTAATCACAATTTTCTGTTTGCCAACAAAAAAGTTTGGGCTCATGCCATGTTTGGGCAAGGGGCAGAGGACAGGCAGGCTAACGTCTGCTGGCAAAGATGTGTTCTGGAAAGGGCATTGACTAATAAGCAGAGATAATCTGCATTTCTCTTCCCTGTATCTTCCATATTTCCAGTGTTTGATAACTATATGAAACATTTAAAAGCTAATTCCACACTTTTCCATGATCTATATCTCTGTGATTTAGAGAATTTGTCATAGAAGTGGGAAGGAATGCAGAACTCAAAATCTCTCCAGAATTTGAAAATTCTGATATACAAAAGAGTATGTTTAACCTACAGATTCAACTACTCAGAGGTTATACGTTTTGAAATAGCTATCACATCAAGCAGCATCCTGGGCAAGATTAAATCCTACAAATTGGCCTAATCCATAGCTGTAAAAGGGTTCTCTTTATTAAATTATTTGTATCGCCAACAAGCGGATTTTCTAGCATACTTTTCTGCTAGGGTGCAGAGACTCAGGAGTCTCCCAAGTAAGCTGTTGATTAGATTTAGAGGGAAGATGGTCAGTCTGGTAGCACCTGGCCTTGCCTGAAGTGCTGACTGACAGCACTGCTTCCTCTCCACCCTAATCTTATCTGTAACTACCACATCAGGTGCAACTTTACAAGATGAATGCACTTTACCACACCTCTCTGCCTACTGTAAATACCATGGCTGTGCATGCTTTTATATCATTCATCTTCCTTTTCGTCTGTGATTTGCATCTCTATCAAAGGTATGGGGCTTCTTCAGGGAAGAGAAGTGCTGGTGGAAGTAGGGAAAGCAAAAACAAAGTGCAGTTCCTTCTCCCTAGTTTTCTCTACTTCCTCGTTTTTTTCAGGTGGTATGCAGGCCCTTTTTAAAGTAAAAGATTGTAGGAAATCCACAACAGATCACAATGAGAGTACAAAGATAAGACAGTACTTCATTGCTGCTGAAGAGATCATCTGGAATTATGGCCCATCTGCAATGAACCATTTTACAGGACAAGAATTAACTGCTGACAGGTAAATGCTTCTAATTAAAGAAGTTTTACTTTTCAAGCAGAATTGATATAAACATGGTAAATAAGGTAAGCCATATGGTAGAACTGACTTTTAAGTAGAATTTCTCATTGACCTCACCTCTGCTTAAATATTAATGCTAGGATAAATATCAGACCAAATTAGGTTTTTTGTTTTCTCTGTTATCTTACTATAAATTTTGCTTGTTGGTAGTTTCACTGGGATGAAGGTGATTTGTAATGTCATATGTAGGCAGTGACCTCAGATGATTCAAGATGGTCGATTATTCTGAGTTAGAGAGCAAAGCTAGGAATTCATGATCATTTCTTTACCTGATGAAGATCGTGCCAACAGCATCTCAATTAGCAAACAACTCGCTTGAGGTAGCTTTGCCCTGTGCTTACATATTTAAGACCTGGATCAAATCACTGAATGCATTGATTCCTCAGATTTTTAATCTATGAGATAGAGAATACCTACCTGCTCCACAAGGGATCAGTCGCAGTTCATTGTCTGAATAGTGCTTTTAAAACACTGAAAGGTCATTTTTTGAAGAGTAAAAGTGTAGACTAAAAAGTGTAGATTAAATGTTCTCACTTTCTATTTAGGTGTTACATATTCTTGGTGTTTGTATCTACTGTTGTTGAATTATTTGTAACTTTTATTAAAAAGAAGAGTAAACTCCAGGTTACAAAATGCTGACTAGCAATCACTGTTGATGAGTCTCTAAGCACACTGGCTTTATGAGGGCAACACAGCACAGTGTCTTTTTCTTAAAGATAATTTAGTGAAGGATAATGGATTCCTGCACATCCTTATAAGGAACTGCATAGGAGTGTGCAGCCAGATCACTGAAAGGAGTCCCTAAAGGCAAACGCAGAACATCATACCTCCGAAAATGGGGTTGACATCCTGACTGACTTTGTGAAGCTGACTGTTGTGACTTGAACTGTTTGCATCTATTGCATTTTCTTCTACATAGTGAATCTCGCATCTTTTTTGAACAAAGTGAGACAAGAATTGGTGGCTCTTATAAAAAAGCCATTTACAAAGAATACACTGATGGTTCTTTCACTGAACATAAAAAAAGACTCACAGAGGAAGCACATCTTGGACTCTTAGGTAAGATACATAAAATTATTTCACGGCAAAGATTTATGAGAGAAAACTCAGTTGCACTGGTGAGCCAGCAGTCCCCTCCGCAGGAGGAGCCCTCAGCTCTCCCTGCCACCTGTGGATGCTGGTGCCTGGGGCTTCCTCCAGGAGACACCACAGGGTGCAAGGAAGCTCTTGAAGGTTGTACTATGGTGGTCCCCAGTTTGCCTGTGGCAGTATGCCATAGTCTCCAAGGGCGAGGCTCTGAATTACAAGGCCAGGCTAGGCAGGTCTAGCCCTCTTTATAACGTGCTGCTCCTGGTGCGGCTCTGGACTGAGACTGAGGGTGGTGCTGATACCTGCAGGTCCCTTCCCAAAGGGAGGAGCTGTCCTGCCTGTCCCTGGGCCTCCATGAGGAACTCGAGTGGAGCAGCCCAGTGGCTGCTGGGCTGCCAGGGGATTCAGGCCGTGTGCCAGAGACCACAGCGGCCCAGGGGCAGCTCCCCTCGAGGGGAGACGCCACCAGCATCAATGGCTCCCAGCTCAGGGTGAGCTGTGCGTTGCTTGATGGAAACACCTTGTAATTAGACCACGTGCTCTCTTCTAGGACCTGTTATCAAGGCTGAAGTGGGCGAGAGCATCAGAGTGACCTTCCGAAACAATGCCAGCCATCCATTTAGCATTCAGCCCCACGGCGTGAGTTACCACAAGAGTGATGAGGGGGCGTCCTACGGTGCTGCCTCCAGAGGTGCGCCCGGGCAGGAGCCTGCCGGCACCAGAGCACAAGCTCTCCAAGTGCTGATGTCCTGTGGGTGCTCAGACAAACAGTGGCCATTAGGCATGAAACCTGATGCTGATTTTTGTAATAGGTATGGAATCTCCAGCCTCTCATGTGAGTCCTGGTGCTACATTTACGTATGAGTGGAATGTGCCAGAAGATGTGGGCCCCACAGACCAAGATCCAGACTGTTTGACGTGGCTTTATTACTCAGCTGTGGATGCAGTCAGAGATACCAGTTCTGGCCTCGTGGGTCCTCTCCTGGTGTGCAGAAAAGGAGCGCTGCTTCCTTCTGGGCAACAGGTCAGTCAAGTCAGTTCAAGAAGAAAAATCACTGTAGCTGAATCTCACCTTCTGAATTGTGCCCTCAGGGCCTGCCACATTAATGACCACTCAGTACCACCCTGTCTGCACATAAATGAAGCATAATGAATACATAAAATGAAGCATTTTTTTCTTAAAAAAGAAAAAAGAAAAAAAAAGGCAACATTGGTCTGGCTATAGATAGACAGACACTGTATTGTGAAACCGCCATCACAGTGAGCAACCACTGGTATTCAAGTCTCAGCTAGGATGAGAATGACTAGAAAATGTAGAGACTTTAAAAGTCAAACCACACATTAATTTCTGGAGGTGGTTTCTGCTTGTAGAAGGAGCATTAGCAGCAGATATCTAGTCACCAGATACAGCAATTGGAGAATTTTGAGATTATCAGAATGAAGTATCAGTGTATGCATCTATCCTACTTCATGAGTTATACTTTTAAATTATTATGTGCATAGAATTTTTTTCCTGACATTTTCTGTTCATTTATTTCTATTTTTCTTTCTGCTATTTCTTCTCACAGAAAAATGTGAACATCGAATTTTTTTTACTTGCCACAGTATTTGATGAGAATCTGAGCTGGTACTTGGATGACAATATTTTGATGTTTACACTGAATCCTAATAAAATCGACAAAGATGATGAGGACTTCCAGGAATCTAACAAAATGCACTGTAAGAAAATTATTAGCCAAATATTCATTTCTACAATAAGGTTTTTACTTCTGTGGTCTCATGTTGGAGACTGAGAAACTGTATAGTAGCAGAGACATTTCCTTTCCATTGGAAACAAACCCATGTTTGAATGCAATTCCATTTCAGCTAAACGTGGTAGTTCAGAGTATAACACCAGCTGTCCAGTGCCTTGCCTGCCAGTTGAGCATTTAGCACTGTTATGTACACTTTGAGCAGGTGGAGGAATTAAGTCTGTGACCCATGTGCAACTCCTAAGAGTGCAACCAGGCAGCAAGAGAAAACTGATGATGCAGATGATGTAGCTGAAAGGAGGATTTCCACAGACTGTCTGAGGCTGTCGGGGAGCTCTGTATGTCGTCTGGCCTGACCCCCTGCTCAGGCAGGGCCACCCAGAGCCCGGTGCCCAGGACCATGTCCAGACGGCTTCTGAACACCTCCAGGGCTGGAGACTCCGCCACCTCCCTGGGCAGCCTGTGCACAGTGACAAAGTGCTTCCTGGTGCTCCGAGGGACCCTCCTGTGTGTTGGTGTGTGCCCATGGCCGCCGGTCCCGTCCCTGGGCACCCCTGGGAAGAGCCTGGCTGCGTCCCCGATGCACCCTCCCTGCTGGGGTCTGTATCGTTGGTGAGATCCCCTGAGCCTTCTCCTCTGCAGCCTGAAACAGCCCCAGCCCTCTCGGCTGTTCCCCGCAGCAGAGATGCTGCTTGTCCCTTCATCATCCTTGTGGCCCTTTGCTGGACTCTCTCCAGTACACCCATGTCTCTTGTACTGGGGAGCCCAGCACTGGGCGCAGTGGCCTCTCCAGTGCTGAGGGGAAGGATCCCCTCCCGGAGCTGCTGGCCGTGCCTCGCCTCATGCAGCCCACGATACCGCTGGCCCTTGCAGCAAGGGCACATTGCTGGCTCATGTTCAGCTCGGAGCCCACCAGGACCCCGGGTCCTTTTCTGCCAAGCTGCTTTCTGGCTCGATTTGCCTGCAGCATTTCTACACCAGCAGCTGCAATCTGACCTTCAGCATCTGACCTGGCAACGCACCTCCTAACGCAGCCCAAGACACCATTAGCCTTCTCTGTGGGACATTGCTGGCTTGTTCTGTGTCTGTGGCTGAGTCTGGATTCTTTTGCTGGTAGTGTGGCCCCTTAGAGCGCAAATCTTTGCTTCTTTAATAGGCAGAGCTGAGTTTCACACTGATCATATTTTGGTACTGTAGAAATGCCTTTCAAGTTTCATGTGAAAGAACGTTTTTATCTTCAGTACCTAGTCCTGCAAATAAATCCTAAACCTATTTTGTGTTCTTTCTTAAATTTTGCCCTTAGAGGCATGCCTGCTATTTACAGAGCCTTGATACTGAGCATTCAGTGGTACCAGACCTAGGCTTTGAAAGTTTTGCACAGAAATAGCTAGAAAAGATTAGTAACTCAGACTAAAAACCACTTCAGGTGGATTGTCTCTGCTGTGTGGCAGGAGGGTCTTGCAGGGTATAAAGTAGGATGCTTTATGCATCCTGCACACTTGACAGGCATGAAGCAGTGGAAGTTCCGTTAGTGAAGTCAGCTACTAGTGCTTTAGACATTGAAAAGGAGAACTGTTAGAAGTTGTTTTTAAACACTGGGGTTTAAAGGTTGTTTTACTTGAATTGATTCTCTAGTTTTGTTGATGTGGTATTTCATCATTGACATTTCTGTCACTCTAAGGCATCTTATTACATCTGCAGTCTGTATTATTTAATCTGTATTGCAGAATTAATATGTTAATCAAGGTGGGTTTTGCTTCCTCAAATCTACAGCCATTAATGGTTATATGTACGGAAATCAGCCTGGTCTGGAGATGTGTAAAGGAAGTGTGGTTTCCTGGCATTTGATGGGCTTGGGGTCAGAAGTCGATGTCCATGGGATATACTTTTCAGAAAACACATTCGTAACTAAAGGAACGAGAAGGGATACAGCAAATTTGTTTCCACATACATTTCTTACAGCTATTATGAAGCCTGATTCTGAAGGTAAAGGTCTTGTTTAAAAATTCTGTTACTAGTTTAGAAAATGTTTACCTATGAACATTTTACGCCTAAAGCTTTAAATAACTGGTATTTTGATCCTTTGGGTGCTAAAACTGCGTACAGCTGTGTTTGAAGTGCAGCAAACTTGTGTTCATAGGATGGAAGCTCTTAATGCTAAAGCCTTCTTTTTTCTAGCTTCTATGTATGCTGAATTTTATTACCACAAGTAGCCATACTACACAGAGAATTTGGATCTTATACGAGCAATAGCCTGTGTCTCAGTCTCTAAACACTAAAACAACATAGGTAATACAATCTCAGGATCTACCAGTAACAGATTTTTGTCCTCAAATCTTTGTTTCTTGTGTGACCTCTAGGAGTTTTTGAAGTGTCGTGCCTGACAACAGATCACTACACAGGGGGCATGAAACAGAACTACAAAGTGAAACAGTGCCATTGGTGGAATGTGGATCTATCTATGTATTTGCATGAAAAGACTTACTATATTGCTGCAGTGGAAGTCGAGTGGGACTATTCTCCTAACAGGACATGGGAATTTGAGCGGCATCAACACCACGAGGAAAGGTACTTTGCAATATACATAAAGGAAAAAAATGCAAAAGAACAACTCGCTTCTCTGAACATTTTCTGCCACCAGGCATTTCTAAACACACTTTCTTTGCATATGTATGTTTAGGGCTCACTAGAATTTGTGGTCCTTCTCCAGTAATGTTGCCATGTAACCATGAGCCAGACAGCATGATGTTCATGAAATGGTCCAGCATAAATCTCCTGCAGGGCAGCTGCAGATTTTCATGAATCTCGGATAGTGCATGTGCATTTATTCACTGATGTTAATACCATCCTTGATGTGGAATGGTTAAAATGTTCATGAAGTTCTAGATATGACTATACTTTGTCCTGATATTACTTAAAATTTGTAACATGTCTTTGTCTCATATTTATCTGTACTCAAAGGTTCTTTTTCTCTCCTCTGTTTCATCAGCTTAGACAAGATAAATCCATGACTGAATCCATTCACTATGAAGCTTCACACCTTGGTGTTTTATTCCCAGTATTTTAATCTCAATGAGAGGGAACTAACTTTTTTTTTTTAATTGACTTTTATTTTCTTCTTTTTCCTCAGCTTGATAGCACATTTCCTTGTCCTCCACACCATAGTGGAATCTGTTACAGTTCTAAGCACAAGTAATATGGACTGTGCTGTTATCAGACTTTTTTTCCTCACTTTCTCCAGCCCCCGTGATCTCAGCAGAGAATCAGTCCCTCACATTTCATTTCAGCAAGGCACTGAAGCTTCACAAGTTTCAGGTTTCACTTGAGACCTACAGAAGTCACTGAGAGCTCTATTTTTCAGAACGCAAGTTGCTGGTGGTGCAATCTGAAATATCTGCCAGGCCAAACACTCAGCATTCTCTCAAATACTTCATAGACTTGGTCTATTTATAATGTTTTTTTAACCATCCAGGTTAAGAGAAGCCTCCCATCTTAACCAGAACATTTTCATGTTGAAGGTACCAGGTGGTCTATGAGATTACTGTTTCACTCAGCCGGATTTTTCTTTGATGGTTAATTGACACACCTGCAAAAGATGTTCTAAAATACATACAGAAATGTACAATGTAATAACTTACTTGCTTTTTTTTTTCTTTTTCTCAGCCCTGGCAATCCATTTTTAAATAAAGAAGACAAATTCATTGGCTCAAAATACAAAAAAGTAGTATATCGTGAATACACCGATCAGACGTTCAGTACTCCCAAAAACAGAGCAGAGCAGCAGCAGCACCTGGAAATTCAAGGTATAGTCATCGAAGTTCAGTTTTGAAACTGGAAAAAATGCAGGGAAGCAAACCAAGAAGATACTATTTGAATAATGTTGGTTCTACCCACCCAAAGTGCCTAAACCTACACAGAATTGCTACTTTTATGATGGTGCCCTGCAAGATTACATTGCTTGCTTTACAAGAATGAAAACCTTCTGGTTTGATACCTGACCACAGGTCAGGAGTTGCAAATTCAGCATAAAATTGGGAAGCAACATCCAAACTGACTTCAAATACACAGTATGTGCCTGGGGCTCTTGACACTCAGGCCTCTACTTAATGCCCCACTTCAGCTGCTCAGTCAGTGTATCCCAGTGAATGACATTATCCATGTACAGTTCTAGCTGAATTATAAGCCAATGTTGTTGTCACTGTATTTGAACAAAACAAACTCTCTCTCTTCTCTGATCTTTTGTAAAACTAAGTTAATCTTTCTTTTCAATCCAACAGGGCCACTGCTTATGTCAAATATGGGAGATAAAGTTACCATAGTTTTTAAGAACTTGGCATCAAGACCTTATTCTATACACGCCCATGGAGTGAAAACAGACAGTTCTGTTGTAGCTGTAACTAACCCAGGTATCAAAGCATCCTTGTTTATTTCTGGCAGGTAACATCAAGCCTTCTAGTAAGGTTTAGCAAGCTGTAATTTTAAGATAGCAGGAAAGACTTTTTGTTTTTACCTCAGGTTCTTAAATTTTTGATGATTATGACAAATATTTCTACAATTAAAATGGCCCTGTTAACTATTCCTCTGTATCTTAGCCCTTGACAGGTCAGTAATTTTTTGATGCAGGTGGTTGCACCTTTCATGAAAGCAAACAGATCAGGCTACACAGGGAGAGCACAGCTTATGCTAGCTATTCCTCCAGGAGTTCCTCTGTGATCTTTACAAAAGGTACAATTGTTTTTATTAAGTAAGGTGAACTGGACAGTGCAGTCACACAAAAAAACCACTGGCAAGAAGAGTCAGGGATCTGCAGAAGGGCAGTAAATATGCCAGCCACTGCAGTAATTGCAAAGAGGAAGATCAAGACAAATATAAGCTGTAAATGGAGAAAACATCTGTTTCAGGACTTCTAAAATCCATCAATATTTATTTCATTCAGGTGAAACAAAAATGTATGTCTGGAAAATACCAGAGAGATCTAGTTCTGAGAGAGGAGATCCACAGTGTATTGCATGGGCATACCACTCAACAGTGGACATCATTAAGGTGTGTCATTAATACCAACCTAAAGGGGTTTGTTCATGACTTCAACACAAATGTACTTACAGCAAAAGGGAAATGAGTTTGAAACTCCTGCTTTCTCTGTCAAGTCATTCCCCTCATTACCGTATCATGGAATTTAAATGTCTTTTGAATAATCCAAGAAAGTCAGGGCAGAATTTGAGAGTCGCAGCCCTTCTTCTTCTTGCTCCCTGTTTCTTCTGCTGCTGGTATAGATCATCTCACTCAGATTTCATTCTTAAAGCTAACACTTTATAGCTCGCTCAATCAGTCGTGTGTGGGACTGTCTAATCAGTCGTGTGTGGGAAAACTAACATGCAACTGTGGAACATAAATCTGCCATGTTTGTACAAGCACCCGTTAAGTTAACATGACTAATAATTTTTAATGAAAATGAATATGTTCTTTCCTTCATGTCTCAGCAAACACAAAAACTTTAGTAGATTTTGAATGGAAACCAAGCTCAAAATCCTAAAATCTAAAAAGAATTGGGGGGGGGGAAATGTGCAATAAATTAAAATGAAACAAATGTTTATTTCTAGCAAGCGATGAAAAAGAGGCAGTTACTCTTCACAGTCCATTGAACTTCATCCATGGATAGCATGTAACTGTGAAGAAATAACCTTTTTTGTCTGACACTGGCTACCTTTATTTCCAGATACTAACAGCTGTAAATAGTAAGAGGATTCATGTCTGGCATTAAAAGTGCTTCTGCTTGGTCACATCTTGTAATTGTATGATTTTTCATTTGTAATTTCAGGACACTTACAGTGGACTAATAGGCACGCTTCTTGTGTGTCATAAGCATTATTTGCCATCATTTCATACTGAAAAAAAAGTTCAGTTTGCTCTTCTTTTTATGGTTTTTGATGAAAATGAGTCATGGTATTTGGATGAAAACATAAAAACCTATTCTACCAACCCACACCTTGTTGACAAAGAAGATGAGGAATTCCTTGAAAGTAATAAAATGCACGGTATGTTTCCCAATTTAGTTAATGTAACTATGGAAACTATAAAATTATGTATTTGAAAGTACTGCATATAAATTGGACTTTCTCATCCCCCCTGAATTTCCAGTTCCAGGGCAGAAGGCCTGAAAATTTTCACTCTAACTATTTAAAAACACTGTTAATGCCACTGAATGATTTTTTTAAAGAAAAACAAAACAAAAACCAACAACCTAAGAAAAAAAGAGTCTCATGTTGAAATCTTGAGGAAAGAGTAAAAATTAAGTTTTACATTTCTGATTTGGTGTCAGGAAACAACTGTTCTGAATAAGCTGGAAAGGCAATACGCATCCTGAAAGCGTGTCCTGGCAAAGCCTACCCTTTACAAAGAGCTGCAGGAAATGCAGGTCTTTTAAGAACTGAAATATTAGTAATGGTGTACAGCAAAGAACTTTTTCTTTTAAATACACCTTACTTTCTAGTTAAATATGGAATATCATCGGACCATTCATCATATGCTGCCCAACTGTTTTGTTTTTATATACCATTCATAGCTGTAACTTTTGCCTGGTATTGGCTTTCAAATCTTGTATTCTATTAAAGTTTGGAGAATAACAATGCACAAAATCTTTTGTTTTCCTTGTTCTTTTCCTCTTTTAGCCATTAACGGAAAGGTGTTTGGAAATCTACATGGTCTGACTATGCACGTGGGAGATCATGTCAGCTGGTATTTGGTGGCAATGGGCAATGAGATTGACATTCACACAGCCCACTTCCACGGCCACAGCTTTGAGTACAAGGTAACAGCTCCTCTCTGCTCGTTTCTTGCTGTGTTAAGAATGAGAGGCAGCTCAGATACCAAGGTATCTCTGGTGAAAAGTCAGATGTGACAGTATTAAGCAGAACTTGTAATCTGAACTGTAAGTTTTTTATGGACCACACCTGTATTTGCTCAACATACAAAGACAGAGACTGTCTGCCAGTAGCATTTTCTGACTGGTAACCTCACAAGTTGCTTCAACAAGGTCGCTGTGAATTTTCATGGCTGTAGTAACACAACAGCTGTACTTTTCCTTCATTTCCATTTCCATTAAGCTGCAAGTTTATTAATCTTTTAATCATTAAATTGATGTACAAAGTGATGCTTCTGTAGAAATTATGTACAGTAGATCTTTTCACTCAACTGTGATTAAAAAGTTTGGTGGCAAAAAGGCAGCTCGCACTACTGTGCCTGGCAATGCTACGCTGTTTAACCACTGTTTCTCTTTGTCCTGAAGCAAACAGGGGTTTACCGGGCAGACGTCTTTGATTTGTTCCCTGGGACATTTCAAACTGTGGAAATGACCCCACAGAACCCTGGAACGTGGCTCTTGCACTGTCATGTTACCGACCACATCCATGCAGGCATGGAAGCAACCTACACTGTGCTCCCGAAAGAAGGTAGGAGCTTATCTGCCTCAGTGGTGTTCACTCTGTCTGAAGGTGCAGAATGGGGCTCACGGGCAGCCCTGTGTACTCAGGACTAGATCAGGCCTCCAGCAATATCTCATGGCTCAGTATCGGTGTTGCAAGCCACCCGGTTATACTGGCCCCAGTGCTGCTGCTCACATAACACAAGTAGCCAGAGGCCTGGATGCTTACTGACTATTGCTTCAGCTTCCCATCAATGAAATTAACATGACAGATTTTTTATTTTAAAAGAATTCTTCATGAAACAGAGTACTTCTGTACCCAAGAAGTGCCAGCAGTATCAGACTCCCTCTTAAATCTTCATTTAAAACAGGAAAAACAGTTGTTAAATAAAGCTGAAGTCATCATCCCTAACAAAGTACTGAAAAACTAAAATAGTGTGTTCTTTCTAAAGGACATGTTATGGCTTTACAGACACTATTTAGCTTGCTTTAGCAATATTACCTGTGAAAAAACTTGAATCTTGAAGAATTTTGAAAGTTCTTGTTTCTACAAAGTTTCTACAGTTTTAAAAGCAACACCTTCCTGTACTTAAAACACAGAGCATAATAGGTATGCATTACAGTTAATTGGCAGAAAGAGAAAAGTAGGAACATCTCAGAATGGCTGTATGTATATACAGATATGTCACTAGATACATGTGTATCTATACTAAAACCAGACTGGAGTGTTAAACACAATCTAGTACTATTTCATAAACCATTCTGATTCACAGAATATGTTGTGCCAAACTTGCACAGATGATAAAATGGCTGACTTAAGCTTACACAGAAAAAGATGTAGACTTTAGCTTGAAGCAGCAGTATGTTGGATTTTTCATAATCAGCCATCTCACGTACATTAAAATGTACCCTTTGTTGCATTTTAAAGCTGGTTTTAAATCTAACTCCCAATGTCTAGAAGGTACAGGGCTCCACTGCTCTCATTCTGGGCTCTGCTGTCCACATGCAGAGTTCTTTCAATGAAACACCTGTAACAAAAGCTGTTTTCCCCCTTACAGACAAAAAGGCCTCTTTGTTTCCAAGATTGTTCAATCAGTTCAAGTGTAAAGGTACAGCAGGCACACTAGAATGATGAAAACATTTCACCACAGTGATTCTCCAAGCTCTACCTTCAGTGAAGCCTTTCTTGAGAAATACTATTTCCTGGACGATTCATCTCCACCTGTGTTCTGGAAGATTTCACTTGGTGGTCCACGGCTAACAAGAGGGCGTTGACTAAGACAGCTGAATGGATATAACGGCTTAGGATACCTTTTTCTCTAAATAAAAAAAAGTAGTATCTTGCAAGCTAAGCATATTCTAGGTGATGCCTAATGCATGTTATTTAATTGCTGAGGAACATGGAAGAGCCAAACGTACTTTTGTAAAAAAATTTGTAAATAACACTGCGTAACAGCAAAATTTGTTTTAGGTATCTGCTATCGCATTTTACTTTAGTTATTGCTTGGGAAACAGGAATTTGGTTATTACTTTTTACATAGGTTCATATTTAAAATATATATAAAGTCATAACTGAACAGCTAACAAAATAGTTCTATTAATTCTGTTGCAATTATTTTATGATTTTATCCAGTAGCATCTTTCAAGATAGTGAATTTAAAAGATGCAATGGCTGAGGGATCATAGTTGCACAAGACGTTTTTGTTTTTCTGTTATGAAAATAATTGCAAGACAAAGTTATGCTGAAATAAGCCTGATGACACTCAGACAGTAAAGGGCAAAATTTGGTGACTACCTAAGAAAGAGCTTTGCTCTCATGAATCTTAAACAACTCCTGCAGTAGAATCATTTTGATGTTAGTTGTGCAGTTAAGACCTAGCATTAAGACTAATGAAGATATTAAGCATTTCTTGACAGATGGAAGCAGCAGTATTAGAGCACAACTGATGCTGGTCAAAAATGAAAGCGGTAAGAGCAGGTGCCATCCACGTGCCATCGTGTTTTAACAACCCAACTCCACATACGTTGGACCTCTGTCAAACACAAAGGAAGGATGTATGGGACTGGCAGGCAAAGCAGAACACCTGGGCTTTACAACTGCCAGAACAAAGGAAATTGCTTCTCTGTCACAAGACTAAACTACTTTGGCCTTTCTTAAGGTAGAAAGATTCTACTGAAACCAGCATAATCCCTACTAGTAAATTAGATTGTTGATTTTGGCTGTAACAGGAATGCTACACAGATAAGTTTAAAAATAGTTTAAAAATATACTTTATTTGCAATGTAGATGACCTCTTCTGACTGACTTCTACAGGTTTAAGTACCATTACAGCTTCAGGGAAAATTGATTTGATAGAGTCAACATCAGCTAATTAGGCCTTTAGACGGTCATGGGATTGTGGACTCATTGATTTATTTGTGGTAGATTCTCAAAAAAACCCAAACTGCATTCATAAGAAAGCCATAAACATTGTGACAGTTTATTATGATTGAATTCCAGCTGAAGGAACAAAAGGATGTTTTCTGCCCAAAAGAAAGGCAAACCAGTACATATACGCACAAGTACCTGAGATGCTTACCAAAAAACCTAGAAGATATTTCAAATACTTCTCTACTGACTGAGTACAACAGGAGAAGAAAAAAAAAAAAAAAAAAAAAAAAGAGCAAGCAAGCAGTAGTCCACATCTTCCACTCCCCTTGGGAACACGTCTCTTTCTTTCTTATTTATGGCCTTTTTTAGCGAATTGCTGAATGAAAACATTTAACACTTGCATGGCTATGCAGCTGAGATGACAGAGCAGCTGACTGGCTTTGCCAGCTGGAATTCAAGGGAATGTCTGTGTTGCAAAATTAAGTGGGGCCCAATTCCACTTGGAAGGGGAAGGCACTTGCTTCTACCCAGTTAGACATACGCCTGAGCTCAAACTCCTCCCCAGGTCAGTGATCCAACACACACAGAATTAAGACTGACTCCCTGCTTTACTTTCAGTGAACACTGTACCTCCCATTGTACTACATAGTCTGTATTTTCGAGCTGCTTGGGCCATAAGTTCACCCCCAGTGAGAAGGTGAATGATGCTGCCTGACAGCTTAGAGCTGTGGTGGGAGTGGTGGCAACACCACTCATTTCTACCTGGCAGGAGTTCTGGTCTGCTGACCTTCTTCAGGGTGCAATAGTACTGGCTTCAAAAGAGATGCTCTGCCTCGGACAACAGCTCTCATTTAATAGTTGTCACGAGGTTTCAACTGAGAAATAAGGTGATTTATGTCAGGGGAGTCCCACAGTACCTTGTATGTAGCTCTACTGTTTGTTGTATTTACTCCTGTATTCCAGCACATTCTCTGAACTTTGGTGCGTAGCAGACTCCCACTGTTTTAGGTCAGCAGCCTCCTCTGGCTGCAGTGAAGAAGATGTGGCAGGAAAAATGCTGCAGTTCCATCCTCTGGTAGAAGACTGAGGAAATCCCTTAGTTCCAGTTCCATTGCAACAACTGATAAAGTTTCTGAACGGCGGAGAAAATCTTGTTTAGGTATTTTGGTTTTAGAACAAAAAAATGAAAAAACATTGTATATATATGTGTGTGTGTGTGTGTATATATATATATATATATATACACACACACACACACACACACACACACACTATATATATATACACATATATATGTGTGTATACAAAAATAATGTAATTAGTGAAGTAATCAAATTATATAAGTATTGCAATGGGAATGAAATTTGAGACACGCCCATTTAGGAGCAAATGCAACTATAGGAAGTGTCAAAAGTAAACTGAAATTATGTGTTCTATTAAACACACAGCTCGATCTTGTCTCTAATGCTTATGGAAGTCTGACCTAGGACTTCACCTATTTTGTATCAAAGGCCAGCGAAGCCCTGGAAGCAGCACCCTAACTCAGCACTACCTCTAAACTGGGATGTCCTGTGAGTGGCTTCTCAGACCAAGCTGTTAATGTTCTTAAGTGATTACAGCAGAGTTACTCCATGAAAACAGTATTTCAAAAGAAAAGACATCAGCACTAGAAACTAGAACATTATGATAGAGCATGGCAACCTGTGCTGCACAATGCAGCCCCATGATGCTCTTTTCCTGCCCCCAGGCATTACACTGTCAGTTGTAAAAAAATACACTTTTATTCACTCTTATTCTGTCAAAACAAACACACTGGCCCCTCAGCTGTACACATTCCTGACTTCCCACAAACATGTGGCAACAGGACTACAAGGGTTGGTTTCTCTACTTCTAGTAGTAACACTGTTTTTTTCAGCCTGTGACCTAATCATCAACACACACTTGAACACCTGCTGGGTTATCAAAAGTAACCTGTCATTGCTTAGAACCATACAGGCACTTGGCCAAGGAGAAAAAACAATTACTGTCTATTAGTTTTATGTAGTAAGTTTGGGGTTTTTTTAAGTGTCTATTTTTGACCTATATAGAAACACTATCACAGAATCAGAGAACGGTTTGGGGGGGGAAGGGACCTCAAAGTCCATCCAGTGCCACCCCCTGCCCTGGGCAGGGCCACCTTCCACTAGCCCAGGTTGCCCGAAGTCCCATCCAACCTGGCCTTGAACCCTTCCAGGGAGGGGGCAGCCACAGCTTCTCCAGCTGAACCCCTCAACTCTCTCAGCCTGTCCCACAGGGGGTGCTCCAGCCCCTCCTGGGCATCTCCATGGCCTCCTCTGGCCCCGCTCAAGCAGGTCCGTGTCCTGCTGTTGGTGCCCCCAGAGCTGGACCCAGCACTGCAAGGGGGGGGTCTCACAGAGCAGAGTAGATAGAATGCCATCATTTTAACTGTTTTCACTACAAAATTAATGCCATTTTTATTAGAGGCAACACACGGTACGTTGCAGAATCCTGTGCTAACAACTAGAAAGCCTGCTGAGCTGTATTAGCTTTAACTGTAGACAAAGGTGCCCATTTTTTTCCAAATTATCCGATCAGTAGTCCTTAGCCTGACCAGTATTTGTAATGTCAGATGATGTGCAAAGGCTTCTGGAGTGAAGTTGCAATAAATTCATTTACCTTTCAGTGATGAAACTAGAACAGGGCAGTCATTGCCAGTAAGCCTGGTTCTCTCACAAAGTTCAGGAAGCAGCTTGTTCCACCACATAGCCTAATCCACAAAAACCAACCGCAAAAGTGTATATTAACAAGGACTGCAATTAAGAGTATGAAAGATCTGCTAAAAATACACTAAGCTCAGATGTATACAAATGCAGCTAGGTTGCAATGAACTCAATACTTTAAACAATGCTCTGAAATGCAGGCTTTTTTGCACATGATGTGTTTTTCAATTTTCAGTGACCTTTTTCTACTCGAAAAATTTTACATAGTGCCCCCTACTGCCTCTACAGAGAAAAGTTTATAAGAGAAAAAAGACACATAATTAGTGAGACTGATGCAGTTAGACAATGAGGGGTTTTTCCTTCCAAACAGCTCCATGCAAAGTGGTGAACAGCATTACTGTAAGAATTCTGCTCGTGTCTACTGATCTGTCTACTTCCAACAGCAGTAGTAGTGACTTATGTTTGTAATTTTGTATTTAATAAGAAGGGAAAGAAGGAATTCCATTCCTTCTTTTTTTCAATATGGCAACTCTTCTTCCACCCGTGTTCAGATTCAGTACTGCAACCTCACATTCAACTCTGTAACTATGTGAAAACAATCAAAGAAACTATTTTCAGATCTGAATTAAAAAGCACAAATCTGGCTCTGAACAGAGTTCTATCTGGTAGAGGATCAGCAAAACTGTACAATTATCTGAGTAGCTCTGATGGGCAATAGAAGTAAACTCCTGTACTCCTGGAACACTTGAATAAAATTGGTTCCAAAATTAAAACTATACAGAGGCTTAAGGGGAAAAATGGGACATAAAGAACATAATCTTTCCACTAGTGCACCAGTACCATTCTGGTGTTAGAAGGCCAGAAGATGTCACTAGAACACAGGAAGAACATATTTGTGTGATTTTTATTTGAAGGACCATGTGCTCTTATCAGGTAGCTTGTCACTAAAATTTCATGTTACACAACACTGTCAAACAAGTTAGAACACTGATTAGTGTTCTAACTGATTAGTCTCACTGATTAGTGAGAAACTGGTTTTTAATTTACAGTGGAAAAAGAATTTATTACTCTCCTTTTTCTGAGGCACTTTGCCATCTGAAAAGACTATGCTTTCAATTTGCTAGAATGTATACAGAAAGTCACAGAAGAAAGCAGGGAAAAAATACTCCATTAAAATTAGTGGGGACTGAGTTATGAAATTTAAATGCCAAGCCAGAGGTTCAAAGCAACTTTATAAGCAGTTTACTTTGTCTGAAAGCCGCACTATTTGATCCATTCAGAGTCCATCTGGACACACATCATTTATAGTTAGAAAACAAACAAAAAAAACCCAAGCAAAAAATGCTGTAAGGAAAGTAGCTCACCTGATTGTCACCTTTCAGCTCGTGCTGAGCGTATAACACAGCTGCAGCAGGACACCTTCTGAGGAGCTGGTCGAGGGCTTCCTCATACCGGCCTAGACGGGTACTGCAGAGAACGTGGATGGTGAGGCCGACGTTGCCAGCCTCTGTCAGAGGCTCCAAGACAGGCAGAGCTGGAGCTATATTGACTGACTGACTACACAAAAGGGACTGAAAGCAAGAAGAAAAAGTATTGTTTGGATGTAAGACAAACTTTGCAAAAAAACACTAACCATAACCTTAGAACAGAAGCCCTTACTTATTGGAATAATTTTGAAATAATACTTCCTTTAATAAATGTTATTGAAAACTGAGAAAGCAAGTTTAGAGTGGACTGCAAATGTAAATATCATTGTTACTGATGCATCTCTATATATTTTTTTCTGTCATCATTTCAACAGGCCTTTTAGTTTAACTTGTATAACCTGGGGGGGGTGAGGAAGAAGTTGTTCATACATACATGAACATTTGCAGAATGGATCTAAGCTGTGAACAGTAAGATTTAAGGGGTTTCATACCTGTAGTTTTGAGATATCTTCATGGTAATCTTCATCAGATGGAGATCCCATTAACATTATGGAAGTTACCCATGGGAAAATCAAGCCAAAATGATTACAGGAGTTTATCTATACAAGAAAGAATCATGTGGCAATACAAGAAATATTTCTGTTAGTGACAGTTCCATGTCAAAGCCACAAGTGAAGAAAACTTTCAAATAGCATAGTTTACAATAGCAGCTACTCTTTCTTCTGGTTCACACAATTTAGTAACAAATTGGAAACCTCTATATAATTCTGTATTTCAGATTTCCCATTCAGAATCCCTTAAAATTCATCACTCACATACTTTTCTCATTTAGCCAGCTTTGTAAAACTGCAAACGCTCCACCTGACAAACTCTCATTGTTTCATTTTAGCCCTTATTTCCATCCAGAGCTGAGATGCCTGTTGGAAGTGTATTTGCAAAGGTCCCCAAAGAGTAGGACTCCCCAGAGCCAGCAGTACCTATTTGCTAACTGCATGCTACCTTATTTGCTTTCAGTCTTGCTTCTTTTAAGAAATAAACTGTCCAGAATTTAAATACTAAGGATAGTATTTGGATCAATTCTGGAGGGACAATGCAGCCATAAAACTTCCTGCAAGTGGTAGACTTACCAGATCCTCTGTTGTTTTCAGTGGCTTAGTCTCAGGAAGTTGCTTCTTTGATATTCTCCAAACATACTGAGAAGTAACCCTCAGTAAAAGCTCCTGAAATATTTCTTCCTGAGAGCACACTACAAGAAGAGCTTCCCAGAAATCCACCAAGAGCTGAGGAATAGTGTTTTCACTGTTACCACACAATATCTAAGAACAGAAACATTAGAAGACATCAAGTTAGCACAGACTGTGATAATTATTAGTAGCAGAACTTAGAAGGGACAGGAGGAACAGTTTTTCACTTTTACTAGAAGCACAACTTTGGTTCCTTTCTTGTCTTGATGTATTTGTAATGGATGTGATTCTACATAATACACTGCTAGGCAAAGTTAACAAGTTCATGGAATGATTCTGAAGTAATCAATTCTGAACAATAGATTTGATTTATTCTTCAAGATTTACTCTGCTGCCAGAAATGTCAGCACACTGTCAGCAAGTAGTTACAGACTGCTAGTCTGGAGGATTTTATATATACACCAATAAGTCAAGCAGGAATCTTAGCAAGAAAAATTTAAAGGCTGTAAGAGATGCTGTGTAGCTCAGCTGGGTATAATGGTAGGACCCACAAGACAGAAGCTTTGAAGGTCTGGTATGCCAGTGGAAAGGACTTTTGGTTTCCAATTTGCTTTAAACAGCAACACTTGTTCTGATTCAAGTTTCATGACAGTATTTCTGATACAGGTCTTTCACAGTAACAGATGCAAGACTGCAGCATACCCACACTGAAGAATACATGCCTTCAATCCAAACAGTGTTATTCATTGTAGAGAAAAGAAAAAAGGTTTGTCTATTCTCAATCTAAATAAAGAGTACTTCAGTGACACCAGAAACTATTCTATTTGTCTTTCTCCTCATAAACTGCAGAGACCCACTCTTTCAGAAATTTACACAGAATATCAAATATTATATACCTTCATATTTAAGTCTGATTATTTAGAAGTATGTTTCAATCCTAATTATTTCTTCCAGAGGAGCTTATGGAAGTGACTTCTCTAAATTCTGTTAAATTTCAGTAGCCTTAGGAAGTCCAATTACTAGGAAGCCACTGAAAGATCTCTGAGATCAGAGTATTCTCCATTCAAATGACAGGGTCAAAACAACGAATGTAATAATTTATTTTTGTTCTTAATTTAACCAGTATTTCTTTCCAGATAGACCAGTTTCTGACTCTGTAGACATCTGTCATAACTGGAATATATCCAACCCTCATCTCCCTCCTTCTGAAGAAATGCTGAAATGTGAGTGAAGGAGCAACTGCACCTGCTTTGCCTACCCATCACAACATCACTATGAGAAAAATAGAAGCAAAAAATTATTACACACCAACCTTGAAAAAGGTATCTGCTTCTTCTAGTTCAATTTTACTGTTCTCATGTAAAGCCACAGTGGCAGCCACCAGTAAACCAGGCTGCATCTCCTTCAGGTGAACAGCAAACTCAGTTGGCACGACAATTCCTTCCTTATGCTGTCTCAAGAGTTTTGGTTGCCCAGTGAAGCCACAAACCAGTGCTGTCTACAAATACAATCAGATATAAATCAGGTAAAAAATTCAATCCACATTTGATTCAACTCAGAAAACTCAGTATTTCCTCAGGCAGTGAAGTTTAGACAGATGAAATGAAGGAAGGTCGGGAGAAGGAAATAAATCCTTTCTACAGTTTATAGAATAGCTCTGCAGAGACTGAGATCCAAACTGTGCCAGAACAGTAACTCCTGAGCAACAGGCCATTGCCTGAACACTGAAAGTAACACGCTGTTGGAAGCTGGAGTTACTGTGCATGTAAGAAAGATTGCACTATGAAATCAAGACATTCAAGACACATGGTGTTTTGAAAAATCACCGGCTGAAGTTTCAAAAGACTACTTTGCTAAAGTATGTATTTTATTTTGAAAAAAACCCTGAAACAATGATCAAAATGTGCTGCACTATGTGCAACAGCAAATTGTTTCTATATATCTGGGTGCTTTTGAAGGGAAGAATGATAAGATACTATTTCCACACTGAAGACAACAGGGAAGTGATGCCTAAGCAGACTAAGTGAATTACACAGGAAATATAAGGCAAACCTAGGAGGCAGTTTCAGATTTCACCCCACTATGCATACAAACTATCTTTCCTTTCTATAACTTTGTGAAAGGGTTATTCTGCTTTGCAACAAAATGCTTTTTAAAGGTAAGGTGCAATAAAACGTTTTTTTAATAGGTCAGATTAAAAACAAACAAAAAAAACCCCAACACCCATGCAGTAGAACGTGTGTATGTTTGCTCACAACAAGGGAATTTCACTTGATAGTGCTGTAAATGGTTAGAATGGTGATGGGCATCATTGTTGAAACAACTCTCCACAATTCCCACCCTGCAATTCAAACTTTGAAAGCTCTCCAGGATTTCTCCTACCAAAGCATGATATCTAACTTTGAAACAGCTATTTTAAAAATTTTTATACCTCCAATATCTCACTCTCAGAAAGAGTCTGTATTTCAATCTCTGTCACCTCTGAATATTCACCAGTTCAAAGCAACCTTTACAAGTAATTTACAGACAGGTCTCAATCTGAAACCACACGTGAACATCTGTGGCACAGTCTGCTTTAACATTTTTCCCCATTGGGGTGGAATCCTTCCTTTAATAGCACTGAAGTAAGTCCTGATCTGATCTTACTAGGGTTAAGTGCTTTGACTCCACATAAGAAAGATGGAAAATTGTATACAGAAACTTTAGTTTGTGTGCATCATGGACATTCTGCTTCAAGAGCTATTTTATAAGGACTGTTTGCATACAGATGGTGTTTTCATGGGCATATCACATATTACAGGTGGAGGGGTGTAAAAATGCTGCTATACAACCCTGCTGTGCTGCTGAAGAGCAACGGCTCTGTAGAGCTTGTTATACCCCAGTAAACAGCATTTACTTTAACAAGAACTTAACAGCTTCAAAACTTTCACTTATTCGGTAAAGCTTCGCCAAGATAAGACTACCCTTCCTGCAGAGGAAACAGTCCCGGTGTGTATGCCAGCCCTTGATTCCACTGTTACTGCACTCAGTGGAGCCTGTGCAGCCCAGCAGGAAGAGGAGTGACTGACAGCTGCTCCTACTGTAAAATACAACTACAGGCCAAACCAACTGACTTGGCCTTGGCAAAGCAGGAACAACTTACGCTTTCAGCATAACTCACCTCCTTATAGGAGCCCATCTCGTGTTCATACATCATCATGTCTCCCATTTTGAGAGCCATGAAAGCCTTAGTAAGCGTCACGACCACTGATGGCATAATCTTTTCTACTTTCTGAAGATACTCCACTGCTGTCAGAGGACATACATTTCTCATACAGGGGCTGCAGAGGATATGAGGCAGCTGCACAGGGTCAGCAAGACAGAATATCTGGAGAACTTTATTTGCTGATTCCTATGGAAATAAAAGCCATTTGACAGATTAGTCCTTTCCAGATATGTATGAGAATATGAAAGTTTTGCAGCTTTATTTTGATTTCTTTGGGGTTTTTTAATAACACAGACAAGTACATCTTAGCTATCAAATCACAGTGCCTTTCTTGACTCCTCCCCACTGGTAAAAGCAAAGGATCTCTAACTGGCAGTGATGCAACCCATATTCTGGGGTGCTAGGAGAACATCCATCACCACAGTGAACTGGTTTTAACAACTTGTACAATATGGCAATGTTCAAAGAAAGAGTTTGTTTTGTTACAGAAATGGGAAACGAAATTTGCAGCAGAATTTGCTAAAATGCAAGTCTTTGTGTGCCAGTGGGAACCAGAACATTAGCAACATGCATCGTGATAGCCAAACCCATAACGTTGCTTGAAAACAGCCCAAAGCTTCACAGGTGCTGCTTGCTACTTTGTCAACAAAAATGGGAAAATAAAAACCATGTGAAGAACAACTGTAAAACTAAATATGCAACTCAGCATTTTCAAGGGGAATTTAATTAAAATTTGATACACAGTTCTTAAAATCAGAATTAAATCAACAGATTAAGAAAAAACTCCGTTGTATCTACCTTATTTAATTCTTCATTTAAGTCTTCATTAAGAGAATGAGTTAAGTAAAATATAAATCCTCTCTCATATGTCTGTATTTCATCACCTTCTGAAACTAGTCTCTTTAAAACTTCAGTCACTGATAAACCTGACATTCTGTAGTATGGCAAAGCAAGGTGGTAATCCTTTGTGTCAAACCTGAAGGCAACAGAGAGGAAGGAAGAAAAGAACAAAACAATTAAGGGCAACACTTCCACCATCACCATTTGTAAGAACTAATACATCAAAATTGCAGACACACCAGTATCTGCAAATACACAGCTCATACTCACTATAATATTGTATTCTGTGTTCAATGACAATAAAGACAAGCAGATACTGAAGAGATGACTAGATTAATCTGGTTTTGTAGAACATAAAGGCTTGTATTATACATGCAAAACTAATGTAAAACATCAAAGAATGATGAATTTTCATTTTACAGTTACGTTGTTGGAAAAAAAAAGCTCACCTATCTAAAACATACCTGCTATAGCAGTCTCCTAAGAAGGCACAACTTTCTCTGAATGCTTTTAGAAGTTCTTCTTTCTCATCTGATTTAAGGAAATGAGGGTCCATTATGGCTGCTCTGATCAGTAAGTGAGCCTCACTTAAAAGATGGATGCAACTCTCAGTTTTTACATTTTCGTAAATTCTACTATAATCTACCTAGAACAGACACAGGATATACTTAGGCTGCTGGCAAAAATTAAGAATATACAGGATCAACTGTAATGAGGGCAGCAGCCATTTGAAAAAGTATTATGGGCTATTCATGATAAACATATTACGTTATATTCAGCAATGACATGCATCAAGAGATTAATTAGCAGTACTTAAATTTTAGTCACCAAACAACAAAAGGAGGAGTTGGGCAATACCATTTCTCTGTAAAGCTGAATAGTTGAAACAGTGTTTATAATATATAAATTCCAACCAGGCTCTGACTCAGAATTTGTTCTGGATTTGATGCTGTCAGCCTTTCTGGAACTAGAGAGAAGGAAAAGAGTTGTCAGTGTTCAAATAAACACTATGCAGCCAAAAAAAATCTCACTCACTTGATAATTTCAATGCATAAATAGTATGTTTGCAGGCTAGTAATTGCTTGAGAGTTAAGCTGTGAATTTAAGTCATGATAGCTAATAACAAAACAGGGATAGGGATGTTCACACACCAGGAGTATCATCAAAACTATCTACAACATCTCCAGGCTTAACACCAGGTAGTATCAGATACTTACATGAAGTAACTCAAATTAGCTAAGATGTTTGCTTACTTTCTGTAAGGATTTACCGCACATTTGCCCCTGCAGCTCTGTTAAAGTGTTTGCCAAGACATGGCAAAAAAATATTTGAATGCTTTTACTCTAACACATTGGTTAGGTCTGTAGCACCCTAAGGCTAAACCACTGTAGGAAAACACAGACTCTTTTTGTTATGGCTTTTTGGTTTTTAACTCTTCTGGGATATTTGTATCGCAATTTTCAAGTGATAGTATTAAGTAGACTAGTATTTGTTCAACTTTCTTTAATGAAGGCAAAAAGTGTATTTTCCTCAAATGCCAACTATAATCTCTGAAACAGCACTACTGGCAGAAAAATACAGTATTTTGAATTATCATTCTCATCTCATCCTCATCTTCTCCAGAATTATTGTCTGTCCCAGGCTTTAAGAAATACTGGCTCAATTAACTCTTTGGTCAACTATAGCTGTCCCACTTTCGTTAATGAACTTGAACTGACCTTAATGCAATTTCCAAATACCTGCTTTAGAATAGCTGGTTTGTAATTTTATGAAAAGCTCTCAAAAAAAGAACTGGAATAGCAGTTCTCATGGAAATTAGATAAAAAGTCACAAGAGCCTCTGGCTACATACATGCTAGAAGTGTATCTTGGGCCAAAGTCTGGTCCTTCTTTTGTCATGGATTACTACAGTGATGTTCATAACTTTTCTTGGGAAGAACCCTTAGCCAAATGTAAATTTTGTGTTAACATTTTGTTAGCCTGTAGCTTCAGTACGCCTACATATTTTTGTATCTCAAGATACATATTTTTTCTTCTCAGAAGCACATACGTGCTTAGTAATGTTATTTTAACATTACTTATATGAGGTTTCTTACAATCTTGAGTAACTTTGTTGATTTCAAGCATTTGTGATCCTACACTATCTTCTTCTATGTCAGTTAATACATTAGAACTGAAAAAAAAAAATATGCTCAATTTTTGTTCTCATGCACTAATTAGGGAATTCTATCCATTTTTTCCAGAGGAACCTCTCTTCAACTCCAACACTCACAAATTCAGCACTCACTGTACACAGAGCTATAAATACCATCTCCCCAAAAGACAGAAATCCTTACAGCATTCTTCTTGTAGGCTTTCTTCTTTCAGTAATATCTTCCGTGTCTGCCTTAGTCAAAAGAATTATATGGTTTTTGAAATGACAGATAGCTCTTGGTCCTATAAAAAGCTGCATTCTTAACGTGCAGACATCCAGTGCAACAGGTGGACAAGCCTATAAAGTATAGTAATTGCTTTGTAATTTCAGTTAGTATGTACTTTAGAGTCTTTAAACAAAAAAAAAGAAACAAATTTAACCCGTGTTCAATTATCTGACACTAAAATCATTCACTGGATTTCCTAACTTTTGAGTTCTTTGCTTAAGCAAGAATAAAAACACTCATAACTATGACATAAATCATTTAACAATTGGGTAAAAACCCCAATCACTTTACTCTTCAAAGCAACTACACAGTTTTAGCTGTGTGCCTCAAAATAAGTGAGCCTGAGGGAGATGTCTAACATGGAAAACTTAATCCCAAATAGTTTGAATTTGGCCAAGTTGTAAAAGATTGCCTGACATGGTTATAAAATATTTATTTCATTTGCTTATGAAAAGCAATTATAGATAGAAGTATATTTCCTTGCCTATTGTTATATTACATACCCAGTATTACATTCCTGATTTAATATGCATCTTTCAGTTAAACCTTACCACATAATCTATACTGGACTAAAAATGGAAAAATACAACCACATTTGCCCAGAAATATTTCACATGTACAGTTTTAAGATAAAATACTGTATTTACAAATTAACATAGCAACACAGCACCATATGTGTACCCTGTTTTCTGAAGGGGGCTGCAGTGGTGACCAGGAGGCTCTTAACTGCCCTGGGCTAGTCAGAACCAGAACCAGCCAGCTCTGAAACTGATTAAATAAACAGCATGAAAAATAAATAATAATCATCCTTGTCATCACCACACTTTAAACTCCACACTGCAGCAGAAACACCCTGAGGGGCCATGGCCCATGCAGGGCCCATGCCAGACTGAGTTTGCAGCCTGTGGAGCACAAGCTGCAGCAGGGACAACATGGGAGACTGCAGCCTGCCCACCACCACGACATGCACACCTCCTCAAACCTCCTGCTGAGACAGGAGGCAGCCTGGTGCCTGACTGCAGGAACTGTAGTGGACTGCATGCAACCCACAGTGAAAACACAGAAAGCTGAGTCTGGACAAGGGACAGACTGTGTCATGTGTTTATATTCTTTACCTCAGTACCTTTGTGAGGAGCAGAGCTCTCATGTTTAGCTCTTGAGATTTTATAATACTTCACCCGTCCTGTGGTTTCTTTGTCTGCTGCCTATACGCTCAAAAGGAATCACAGAACGGTTTGGGTGGGAAGGGACCTCAAAGCCCACCCAGTGCCACCCCCTGCCCTGGGCAGGGCCACCTTCCACTAGCCCAGGTTGCCCAAAGCCCCGTCCAACCTGGCCTTGAACCCTTCCAGGGAGGGGGCAGCCACAGCTTCTCTGGGCAGCCTGTGCCAGGGCCTCACCCACCGCACAGGGAAGAATTTCTGCCTTAGATCTCATCTAAATCTCCCTCCGTCAGTTTAAAACCGTTCCCCCTTGTCCTATCCCTCCCCCCTGATGACGAGTCCCTCCCTGCTTTCCTGCAGCCCCTTTCAGCCCTGGGAGGCCGCTCTAAGGTCTCCCCGGAGCCTTCTCTTCTCCAACTGAACCCCCCAACTCTCTCAGCCTGTCCTCACACGGGGGTGCTCCAGCCCCCTGAGCATCCTCGTGGCCTCCTCTGGCCCTGCTCGAGCAGGTCCCTGTCCTTCTGCTGTTGGTGCCCCCAGAGCTGGACCCAGCACTGCAGGAGGGTCTCCCAGAGTGGAGCAGAGGGGGAGAATCATTGCTGGCTCACAGGCAGTTTTCTACTAACACTCTCCTCTCAGGGCTGCTCTCAATCCCCTCCTCACCCAGTCTGGATTTATGCTTGGCATTGTCCCAAACCGTGGGCAGGACCTTGCACCTGGCCTCGCTGAACTTCATAAGGTTTGCACAGACCTACTTCAGTCTATCTTTCCTGGTAATTTTATTAATATATATCCCAATCTTTACAATTCAATAGATTTTTACTGATAGGCAATTTAAGGAAGGGGAAAAGTCTAGACCTCCAAGGATCAAAAGCCCTCCTCCTAAAAAACATGCACAAAGTATCTGGTAGCAGACTTGTTCAAGTGTTTACACTCCTTTTCCAAAACCTGATTTTTCAAGGATACCTGAGAGAAGCATCATCAGCTGCAATAAGGGAAAAACTCTGCACCCTTCATTCATTTTAATGCAGGAAAGCATGGAATTTAGTTTAAAATGTGATTTTATAGCTTTTCATGGTTTTGAAAACATACTACTAATCATCTAGAATCTCAAACAGCAATAATAGATTGTTTCATTGAGGCATTTGTAGACCATTAAAATACAATATGCCATAGATTTAAGTAAAATATTAATTTTTGACCTTATTTTATTGGTTCAGCCAATAGAACGTAACAGAATTTCAGAAGGAAACATAGGGAAACTAAGTGCCATACTACTACCCCCATTCTCTTAGCAAGGTAGTAAGAGGTGCACCTTCACAGTCGTATCAATATATGGATCCTCATCACGAGCTGCTGCTGCACTGCACCGCACTGTGAAACACTGCAGGTTCTCACTAGAGGGAAAGAAGGAACCACAATGATGAAGGGAAAAAAAATGAAGACTTGCAAAAATCAAGTAGCCAAAACTACAGAAAACCAGGTATTTTTTCGTCATAGAAATGTGCCTAGAAGTCTAAGCAGGAGGGCATGCTGCACTATCACATGAACCTACCCAGAGAGTTCCAGGAGGCTATGAAGGATATATCAGAGGGGGAAAAAAAAAAAATTAAACGGCAATAGCATAGAGAAACATAGTGATACTATCAGCAAAATCATAAACACAGTACCTTGTAATGACGTGCAGGAACTGTGGAGTGAGAACTGCCTGCTCTGACTTCTCTGAATACTGGTAAGTAGAAATCAGTTCTACTAAATTTCCAACAGAGTAGAGATATCCAACATGAGGTAAAGAGAAAAAGCAAAAGAGACTCAGTAGTTCTCTCTTGTTCTCAGTTTCCTCATGGTCTGTCACAGAACTTCCTAGATGTAACAACAAGAAAGGCATTTTATATAACTTGTAAATCAAATTCAATTTCTTTTTGAAATTTTCAATTTCTTTTTTCAATCAAATTCAATTTCTGGCAATTCCTTTGCAAGCCTAATGTCTAAAAGATACTATCAAACCTGCCCAGGTTGTGGACTGGTTTTGTTAATAGCTAGCGAAGAGAAAAAGAACTATATGAAGATCAGTGTACAGGTCACAGATTTGTATGCCATGTTCTCTCACTTGGGAGTAATTTTTAACCAAGGAGTGGATGTACCACCAACTGAAGGAATTCTATAGATGTAACACCATCTGAGAGACCTGGCAGATTCATTACAACTAAGCATCCATAGATTGGATGATCAGCCTGATCTCAGACAGCTCCTGGTGAGCTGGGATGAATGCTCACCCAGAGCTGCAGCTGCAGTGCACTGAAGTACAGGTCCTCACTTACGGGAAAGAAAGGCTGGGAATGGTGGAATTTATTTATAAAGCCACTTTGGCAGGTAAAGGCTGTTTCCGTATTTTACAGATCCTCTCGTCAAAGACTGTAAATCACAAGAGAACATGATAGTTGGACATAAATGGCAAGTAGCTTATTTTCAAGTCAGCTGCAACTTAAATGAGGCTCTGCTACTTAGCAGACAACCAACCACAAACTGAGTGAGCAGCCAGTAAAGCTGATGGTAACATACAGCATTATATTTTTCCATGGGTTTTTGGGGGCTTGAGCTAGTGTGTATTCATGAACCCCTAAAATTGGCACCCAACACTTGCAGTTTTAATTAAAGGCTGGCAGAAGGGTAACCCATATCTTAATGATTACTAAGGTTTACTACTCTGATTTCCACTACTGACTCATGAAAGGCAGTTTAGTATCTTATAACACTGAGGATCACTATCTTGTGATGTAAAATTAATCAGTGGAGAACTGATAAAAGCTGATTTAGTCGTCTTCTTCTGGTGTGGTGAACTGATATTTTAATTCAAGATTTATGCAGAGCTTGGAGAAACTTAAAGACTTTTTGACTAAAGCTCAGTCTAAATCACTGAAAAGGGTGGAAATACCTTAATTTAAGAGCAAATCATACAGAAACAGTGTACAAAACAGAACAAACAAAGCAGCTCCTTCCTTTCCCAGGTCTGTGGCACAGACCATAACGCATCCATGTATATGCATATACCTGTCTGGTATATAGGAAGCAGCTGAACAGAGTGCAACTTCGTCTCTTCACAAAATCCAAAAGGCGACTGGTCAGGTGTAAAACGTCTAGAGATAAAAATCCAAAACAACAACGTGTCACCTCAGTGAGAAATCATTATGAGCTACTTTGTACAAGCAAACAGCACTAGCTATATGTTTTATAATTTTTTTAGATATGTTTTAATACTCAAGAACAATGTGCACTCCTACTACTAATGTAATTAGCATGGCAATTCCAAGAAGCACATGGCACAGTTAGAGACAACTATCTTGAGTTCTTGAGAATGGAGCATCGGGCAATCATCAATGGCATAAAATGTAACAAGTCCAAGTGCCAGATGCTGCACTGGGATGGAGTGAGGCACAAGTATAAACTGGGAGATGAGTCGCTGGAGAGCAGCCCTGGGACCCAGGCACAGGATGTTATTAGGAAACATTTCTTTACCAAGAGGGTGGTCAAACCCTGGAACAGGCTTCCTGGAGAGGTGGTCACTGCCCCAAGCCTGTTGGTGTGTGAGGCATTTGGACAATGCCCTTACCAACATGCTCTAACACTGGGTCAGCCCTAAGTGGCCAGGGAGCTGTACTAGTTGTTGTCAGTCCCTTCCAAATGAGATTTCTATTCAAAAATAGGCTTTCTTTGAAATCACATTATTTTCTCAGTGGAAAACAAAAACCAAAAAAAGCCCAAACAAAAAACTCAAACCCTTATAAAACCCCCAAAGTCAAAATACCAGAATTTTTCTTTAAACAAGACATGAACCACAGCTCATTATGGTCTCCTGTAGTAAATTAACCCATAACGAGGAAAATACATTTGTAATACCTGAAAAGCAGATACTGCACTTGGAAGCGCTTTGTGTCTTCTGTAGGTAACTCTGTGGATTCCAGTGTGATGGGTATCTCACACAGCTTGCTTTCTTCCCCAAGCAGTTCCAATGGCTTCTGACATATGATGAACTCATCTAATTCAAGCTGCAAAGTAGGCATTGAAGGGCCTTCATCTTTTACACCTTAACAATGAAGATGCTATATTAATTGTTCAAATCATTCCATTTAGCAATAAGAAAGTGGTATGACACAGTATCGATTAAATACTCCAATGACAGCTACATAGCTAGCACTGGTTTCCTCAAACATGAGATTTCAAAAACTGCTACGTTAGAAAATGAGACCAATCCTTCATGTAAGCCTCAACAGTCTGAATACCTAAGAGTCAAGATTTCTGGAAGAACAGGTAAACTGTTCATTATAAGGCAAGTCCAAGGCAACCTGTGCTGCAAATGGCTGGCTGTCAACAAAAGCTGTCATTTGGCTGGAGAGGTTTTAAGGAAAAGGCAGTTATGATAGAAAGTTGGGTTCTCTTAAACTCACATCAGTGCTGGAAAGCAAATCCTAACAGCACTCAGAAATAAGCTGAACTTTCCTATTTTTATTCATAAGAACAACTAGGGCCAGGAATGCCATTATCTGAGTTAAGATCCATCTCAACTCAGTGAAGAACATTCCAGTTTATATTTTACCTATCTTGACAAGTCTTATTTACCTTTAAATTTTTTCTAGGTACAGCTTCCATTTCCAAAAGACCACCCTTTTCTAAGTTTCTTCAATTATAAGTGAAAGGTTTTCCTAAGGTTTGTTGGTCTTTCTTTGATCCTTTCGGAAAGGTGGGAATTGAGTACATATGAATGGATTTCTTGCAATACACAGGAATGAGACCTACTGAGTAAATCTATTTCTGAGGTTTCTAGGATTCTAAGGCAAGCCCCTGAAAAACACAAAGGACTGAAAAAGGAGAATTTGCTGACACCTTGTTTATGCAAGTTCTGAGCCTACTAACAGTTACAAAAGTGCATATGCATCACCACAGCAGCATTCTTAAATGTGTAAGCCAGTACACATGGTCCCACCTCAAGGCTCATGAGAGGCTTCTTCCATTAGGCCTCCTACTTGTCCCTTAGAAGAGACACTTATTTGAGCAGTGATGCTGACAGAGTAATTTTTCTGAACATAGCACACTGAACTCCTACCACCTTACTTTGGCCCATGGTGGCTCCCCAAAACAGGACCTAACTCTATGTCTGTAGAGGTTGCACTACCCTGAAAGCATCTGCAGAATGATGGTGTATTTATTTGAAGTGTTACCTCCAACTGCAGGTGGTACAACTTTTCATGAACTGGAGTATTTAGCTGACAGTCCTAAACTGATCTGGAAATATTTTCTAAAGGGCAACTGCCATGTTTGAGCCTACTTTGAGAATAACAGGACCCAGTTAGCAGATTCCTGGAAATAAATAAATAAATAATAAACACAACAAAACCCCACTTCTGCACTTACCTCCATCCTCAGGCTTTTCTAGCATACTACCTCTGTGTGCACACTGCTCTGTCCGGTCTGCACTCTGATGGACCAGTTCCAGTTTCAGGATCAGAACCTCCAGCTCTGTCGTTACAACTATATGTCTGGCACAAAATGCAACTTCAGTGGGAATGAGATTATCAGTATGCAAAATTAAGGAGCGTTCAAAATCTAACACAGTCAAATTCTGGTTGATGACCAGATATTTCAAACAGAACATGACCAGTTTATTTTTGCAGCCCACAAGAAGATCTCCATTTACAGGACAACATGAAACGCACAGGGGAGGATCTGAAAGTGGCATTTCCACAATTGACATCTGTTCTTTTAAGGTTTCGCTGTATGACTCTTCCATCTTGTGACCAACCATCCGAACACAAACGCGAGAACTCCCTGCAGACATGCATCTCCAGTTTGTATATGCTCTCAGGAAAGTTGCTTTGCTTTTCTCCTCAATTGTCACCAGGTAGTCTCCTTAAAAGAAAGCAGCAGTATTGATATATCATTGAAGAACAGATGACAGTTTCTGAGCTCTCTACCTGCTGCAGTACTTTACAGAGAACACTGTAAATTCTCAAATCTTACATAAAATTCTAAAAGCAGTTTTCACCAGTTTTGCTCTAATGAAATCCAAAGTGCGAGTTTCTTTGCTGGAACACACTTAACACACCATTATCAAAAAAGGATTTACGGATCTAGGCCCGAACTAACTCCTAAATCCACTTTTGAGTTGTGATTGCAGACCAGGTGTCTCCTCTCACCCCCTCTATTTTGTCCTTTAAAGACGGGGGTAAGTCACAGACTGAGGAGGAGCTGCGGGGGCCGCCGCGTGCCCTGAAATCGCACAGCAGCACGGGCCCGGACCGGGGCGGAGGAAGGCGGCAGAAAAAAGCCCCGCGCTGGTCCCGCACGCGCTCCCGGCGGGCTGCCCCG